AACTCTCTCCACTAAATACGCCCGGCCGCTGGTGTTTGCGGTTGTATATCGTTCTTTAAACCAGATTTCCGAACACGATAGCCTTCTTTTAACGGAACTGAATAAGACCAGCTCAAACAGAGACGTCCTTAGTGGTGGGGACTTAAACGTCCCAAATATCGACTGGCAAGCTTGGGCAATTTCGGGCCCATCGGACACATTCGGACAACATTTGCTTGAACTGGCAGCAGAAAAACTACTTTTTCAGAAATTAACTTTCGGAACACATGTTAGGGAAGGGCAATGTTTAAATTGTGTCGACTTGGTGTTCACCCGAGATGAGGGGATTTCGCTGGATCACAGGATCTCCTGCCAGTTGGTGCTAGTGATCATATTTGAATGTCTTTTGAGTGCTCCATGTTCTCCCGACCTGATTCATCTGAATAACTGCAAAAAATACCCGAAAGGGAGATTGTTCCAGCGTGCGAACGCAGGCTCGGCGATACCATGGACAATCACATTGCAGGGAACAGTTAACAAGTACTGGAGCACGTTTAACTCACTGGTGGAAGAAATCGTTTATCTTAACTGTCTACTCAGACAAAAGACAACAAGCAACCGTCCGCTATGGATGAACCGAGAATTAAATATCGCGTTTAGAGAAGAAAAAGGCGTAGAGATGTCATCGACTTACAGAGAGTCTTGAACACCTAAAAGAATACAAGCGACCGCGAAACGTATGTAAACGCGAGGCTAACAGACTTCGAAGGAACTATGACCTAGGCATATTACAAAACTTTTTGGAGCATCCTAAAATCTTCTATGTTTACACACTTAATGGCAAGAGAAATCGCGACGCGCTTCGGGCGCTGAGGTGCCAAGACGGAGTAATTGAGGCAGAGTAGCACATGAAATCATCAATCTTCTCCAGGTTCTTTCAGTCGGTATTAACTCGTGGCAAGAGTCCTCCTCCTATGTCTTTACCAGGCCAACAACAGAAGCCTTCGTTTCCTGAATTAGAAAATGTTTACTTCTCGCCCACGTCGATAAGGACCGAACTACGCCGGCTGAAGCCTGAGAGACCCATCGTGTGCTGCTGAGTACGAACTTCGTCGTGGTCACTAATGTCTTGAGAGTAGTCTTTACTCGCTGGAAAAGTGGACAAACGTCATCGACCAGGTCTGTCCAGTGGATGCCATCTTCTTTGGCTTTAAGTGTGTCTGATGGCATTTCTCATGGACGACTCCTACAGAAGATTTGGGAGTGTGGAATACAGGGCAAGATTTATAAGTGGTCTAAAAGTTGTCTGTCATGCAGGCTCCAAAGAGTAATTGCTGGCACCACTGTAACGTCCACTGATATGGGCAGGGTTGTTTGAATGCCGTGACACTTTTGGCGCGAGGACGTAAAATGGAGATGGCGTAACCGCATGTTGGTGCAGATGGCCGGTGTCCCTTCCTCTCTCTTCCGCCGATCCCTTCCACCGCTCCGTATCGTGACGTAACGATCGTACCGCTTCCCTCGCTACATCGGCAACCCCCTCGGCCCTTCCCTACAGTTGCCCCCAGCGCTGCGTTCCCACCGGTTTTCCAGCTGGCATGTTGGCCTCGCCTCTCCACCCAGACAGGTCACTCGACTGTTGTAACCCATTCCGTTTGTACTTTTAACTGTCATTATACATCTTTTCAATTCCGTTTTCTGTTCATTATATCTGCCCGTCCACTAATTGTTTCTTCTTCCTCTATGTATCGATGAGTATCGTGAACTGCTAATAATCGTATTCAGATGAACACAAGCCAGGATCTCTTCCTCGGTATTCCGTTACGTGGTTGTGCGCTACCCTTGACATCCTCCGCCGCTATACCACAACATCCGGATGGGTGCCAGTAAAAAGCGGCTTTCGGCAGGGTTCAGTCTTGGATCCTCTCCTCTTCCTCATCTATATAAACGACTGTACTGCAGATCTTTAATGCGATACCATTATGTTTTCGGATGATATAAAAATCTGGGAAACGGTCAGCTGTGTTGAAGAATCTCAGAAACAACAGGAAGATGTTGATAAAGTGGCTGCATGGTCCAGGAAGTGGTTCCTAACGTTTAACGTATCCTAGCGTTTAATCTAACGCCTAAAATCTGGTTATAGGCGCTTCCCAAAACATCAGTACATCATAAATGGGGTTTCACTAGAGGAAGTGCACACGCGTAAAAACCTAGGTGTCTGGATAAGTTTACACTCCCTGCTCCCCGAGCCTCGCAAAACAACTGTCCAAAAGGCAACCAGCATTATGCACTGCCTTCACAGTCCTTCTTCCCGAACTCTTCTGACAAATACTCGGTGTGTTTTTCAGACCGCATTTGACCTACGGAATGCCAGCATGCACGTCCTGGAGGAAAAAAGACAGTGATGCCGTAGGGCAGGTGCAACGACGGGCCACAAAACTGGTGGGCGGTCTCAGGGCTATATTATATCCAGAAAGACTGATCCATCTAAACTTGTTCCTCCTATCAAATAGACAAATGAGACGCGACCTGTTATGGACATTCCGCATTATCCACTGGTATGAATGACCGCTCAAATCTGAGGACCTCTTTAACTTCACGACCAAGAGTCACCTGCGCAGTCATCCGTAAAAGGTCAGACGGGACCGTACACGCCTAGGCCATAGGAAGTTTCCATCCAGTCAGCGTTTTTTTCGACCGTGGAACTCGCTCCCAAGTGAAATAGTGACATCTGATGCAATGGTCGGATTCCAAAGGCAACTGGATCACTCGATCTCCAATGAACGACAACTCTCACTGTGGAACCATTTGCGGTCAGCCAACCTGTGTAACGCAGCCCTGTACATTTAGTGATTTTTCCGCAAACTAGGCATATGACTGCATTTTATGCTGATTTTATATAATTGCACTCAAAATTTCATGTGCATATAGAAAGACCAGTTTGCGGCACCCTTCGCAGTTCGGCACTGTAAAAACATTTTCTGTAAACAAGTGTGCTATTAACAGCTTTTCAGTAAGATGTGCATTCGGCATAAACATTGTTTGTACCGTTTTTAATAGGGTCGTCAGGGGCATTACCTATTACCCTACAAATAATAATACTACCACTCCATACATACTTTGCTTGTTCAGGTGAAAACGTCCACTTATATTTTTACCATCCCCGTTTCTAATTGACTACTAAAACCACGGACATCACTCCTCCCTTGCAACAATGATTTCCGCGGTTCTTGGTGTCATCTCCACATTTTGACCCCGGGCGGTCTGTTGATAATCACGACGGAATCTTATGTTTTCGCTATCTGCTAGTAGTCTGGTCGGTCAGCAAGGAAGCGTCAAGGTTGCATCTCCCCATACGCTTTGATGACCGCCTCATAGACTGGACTCTAAGCGGACTATGACCGATCGCGTCTGGCTTTCTCTCGTCTCGCCACTTTGACGAGGGCAGTCTTATCCGGTCTAGGAACTCTGCCTTGACGATGTCTGCATCGAATCCCTTATAGACTACCATATGCAGGCTGGTCCTGTCCGACCCTAGTATTTACTCGTTAATAAGCGGCAGTTTTTTCTCATTAAAAGCCAATCAAATCATATTCATATCTGCCCACCTGAGCCTATTTACTTTGCCTATTTCGAAAGAAGTCGTTCATTGTCACTGCTCGCTTGTTCTATATGCATGAACCAAATACCGCAAAGAGCCTGTTCTAACGAATTTATTTTACTTACTATGAAAGTATCCCAAGGGTATTAAATAAAACTATTTATTTCTTTATTCATAGCCAGTCACGAACTTCGGCTGATATTCGTCGTCTTAAGTCGTTTATCAACATCTTGAAATCCATCACACTGTGTGGATAGAAGCAGAGTTACTCATCATTAATAGTGTCTACAGTGGCTGATGACATGTTATATGTGCTACAGACGCCCGAGTTTAAAGCATGCGTACTTGTCCTTTTTATTCCCTCCTTACGAGAATGGTCCATAGACACTAGCCCCTGGAGTTCTTAACGAATTAGCAGATGGAAATTCAGATGACATCTTTTTTAGACTTGGGACCTCCTAAAATGGGCTTTTTCGGTGCCCTTTATAGTTCTTAAGTATGGTCTATGAAGTAAAAGTCGTGATTTCACGGGTGAATCGGTCACCATGACCATTTAATAGGCCGGTTTCATTGGGCGATCATTTGAAAGCAAGGCAAAACAGTGTTGGCTTGTAAAAGCCAACGAGAGACAAGTCGCACAGTCTTCTGCATGTCATCTTTCGATACTTATGTCATAAAACCCACTTAAACCCTACGGAAACAAACTAAATCCGGAACCACCAACGACTTCTGGCAATGCAGTTTGTTTGTTATATTTAACGCAGATAGAGTGCCCTTAAGATTTGTTCGTTTGGTTCTCTCACAGTGTTTGTTTTGACAGAATTTTCGGACCGAGGTCAGCTAGTGCATGATGGATAACGTTTAGATGACGCGAGAGCTGTTCTGTTGGTGCCGCTAAAGAAAGACATCCTGTTAATAGATGACCACAACCAATAACACACCCTGTTAAATATTATTGCTCAATCCTCAGAAACGGTCAGCTGATTCTCAAATATATACCAAATATCCGTATCAGAATACTGTATTCCGTTCAATAATGAATATTTAAATTTATAACTAAAATATCCGTGTTTAACCTTTTCAGTAGCGAAGGCGGGCTTCTTAAACAGTATCCGCTGCCGCGTACGCGTAAGCCGCCAGCTGCTTAATGGATTCCTTGAACCCGCCTTCAAAATCTGATATCGATGCAATATTTTCACGGCTTCTATCAAAGCCGTCAAATAAAGTGAGTATATGCCTGCTTCTGACATTATAGATATGTTTTGACTGCGGTTCGGGTAATCCCACATGGGCCAGTGTCACATACGGCGTGTTTTTGTGCATTGATTGCTCCGCAGTCCACCGATCCCTGGGCGTTCATATTAGTTTTATAAAGTCAACTCAACTAGACGCCAATTGGTCCTGGTTGCAGCTGCGGACCATGCAGGTTGGGGGCAATTCAAACGCCGTACGTATAATGTTTTCCATATTGTCTCCTAGAGTGCTTTCCTCCAGCACGATTCTGCATCAAATGACGTAAAGCAAAAGTATAGTAGCAGAGCTGCCCAACTATATAGAAACAAACTTGAGAACCTTGCGGCGAAGGCTGTGCAGTCCATGGGTTCCAGCGTACGTCGTGCATTTTGTAATTTGTACTTAAAATAGCTCTTTTTAGACGCCGAGGATTCGCTTGTGACTGTGTCAAAAGATCCCGATTTCTTTGAAGAGCACACAACGAACTCTGTAGTCGAAGATTTAGGTGGTATGACACTTAGCAGCACTGTTGTGTCCAACACCGCTTCGATCCCCCCTAACGGTAGGTCGTTTCATCGACATCGTTGCTGTACTTACCATTGTCATTGTAATAACCCCGCCAAAGCATCCCCTTTAGGAAATTTCGTGGTCTTACGCTTTTTGTCTCGAGTTACGCCTACTTGATACTGATAGCTCCGCATGCCCAAATTGGGAAAAAGTAGTTGGGCCGTGATTTGTCAATTCTTTTTGAAGACCTCACTTCTCCCCTTAAGGATATCGACGGTCTTTGATCCGTCACTCTGGTTACCTTTTCCTCGCGCCTTCGAGCGGCTTCTCGCATTTTCCATTTGCTCCTAATATCCGTTCCTTGTTTCACATAATTGTATGTGGGATTAACCAAGGTTTGTGAGCGCCTGCTATGCCATGCTCTGGAACCTCTCCGTTATCTGGTTCTCTGGCGGTAGATGTGCTTGCGCTCCCGCTGTGTATGCGGGTCATGTGCATGGCTGCCCAGTTATCCGCGTCCTCTCTTTTGCTGTTATTGTTGTTCAAAATCCTGACTATGTGCTTGTTGTGGACCGGGGGTGTGGAATGGAACGCCAAGGTGAGGGTTCGACCGCGCCATCCACCTGCGGCCGTAATAGGGGCGGGTTATAACAGTCTACATTGCAGATGGTACGGACAATGGTGGGGATGTTTTGCAGGACGGTAAGAGTGTCCTGGTGTTGCTGATGAGGGTAGTCATTGTGAGATGAGAGGCGAACTGACCACGTTGCCATTTTGCTGGGCCTGCTGATGTTTAACGAGGCCGACCCCTGCCCGGAATGTTCTTTGACAGTGTAGACACAGTGGCAGGGGTGGGGTGTTTGCTCCATTGGTCCCTAGTGTCATGCTATTTCATGAATTCCATCTTATCTACTACTTTTCTATTCCTCGTTCTAGTTCCAGTGCGTCAATTGTAAGACGAATAGAGCCCTTTTATATGGTATCCTCGTTCCGATTCTGGCATTCTGATTTCTTCGTGCTCCCCCTCTCGTGTGCTTGCTACCGTCCTAGCTAAAGCAATCTAATCATCTTACAACTACAGAATAGATCGATTCCGTAGGCCAGAACGATTCGATGTTGGCCCGAATGCTCAAGACGCTTCTAAACAGTGCGATCGTTGATTTCGCATTTTTGAGAATTTCTTGTCCTCGATCGATAGCTTGAAGCCTGATTAATTAAGCATTCAGAATAACTACGCTTTTTGACACTCTGGGAATGCATTAGTGAATGCTCTAGTTACGGAGAAGCTGTTAAATTGCTACAAATTCTCTGCTTAAAACCTTAGAACGAAATCTTTGCCTGCAATCTTCTGTCAATATTCAGACAGGAAGACGGACAAACCTTCGACCAGTTTGTTCAAAAGCTGAAGTCCTTAGTTAAGGACCGCAATTTGAAAGCCGTTACGTAAACAAAGTTGCGACGATGCCATCAGCTATGCCTTCATCAGTGGCCTTTCGTCAAACCAGATTCGTCAGAGGTTATTGGAGCAGAAGAATTTGAACTTCCAAACTACCTTTTATTGGGCAAAGTCACCGGAATTGGCAGAAAGACAGTCTCTATCCTATCAGAACCCTCCAACGTCCTCATTCTCTGCCGCTGTTGGATCATTGAAAACTTCGTCGAATCCCGTTAAAGAGCCTGACCTAGTGGCTTCTGCTTCATTCGGTAGCAAATGTTTCTCTTGCGGATACGACAGGCACCACCGTTCGTTGTCTCCTGCACGCTATGCGTTATGCAAAGGATGCGGCAGAAATAGGGCACTTCCAAAAGGTGTGCCTCACATCACGAAACCGAAAAACCGTCTCTTCCGCTATGTATCTTATCATTTCTGCCGTGGCATCAGTTGCTGTTCCTGACTGTCTCTCAAACGCAGTGGTTGAACTACAGATAAATGGAACTACTTTTCAGGCCCTAATTGACACAGATAGTTCTGAAAGTTACATTTCTTCAGTGGTGCTCCAAAACAAGTGGAAGGTTCATAACTCTCACTCAAATATCCATGGCCACCACTGTCTTAACCAGCGCCACGCAAGGATATGTTCTTGTCTCTATTAAATATAAAAGTACAATATACCAGAAGGTCTAGGTCTTGCCGGATTTGTGCGCCGATGTTTCACTTGGACATGACTTTCTCCAGAGTCCTCAAGTGTTGGAATTCCTTTTGGTGGACCTAAACCTACTTCCCCGCCTCGTTCTGTGGCTGCCGCTCGCGTCAGGCCTATCCGTTTGTTTCCTAATCTGACACCGGACTGCAAACTCATCACAACTAAACCTCGTAGACACACCAACATAGATGAACGATTTATACGAGAAGAAATTCGTCACCACCGCACCGAGGGTGTAACTGAGCATTCACTATCCCCATTGCGAGTCCATGTTTTGGTGGTAATCAGTGAACGCCACAAAAAGCAGATGGTTGTCGATTATAGCCAAACGATCAACAAATAAAAACCCAGATGGCTACCCCTCCCACAGAATAGACGAAATGACTGAACATATTGCAAACTACGACACGTATAGCACAGGATATCAAGAGCGTCTATCACCAGATACCCATCAGGGTAAAATAAAGACCATGTACTACCTTTGAAGCTTGTGGACGTTTATAGCAATTTTGTCGTATCCCGTTTAGTGTGACCAACGGGGTTGCGTGTATCCAACGGATCATCGACGACATAATTACGCGCGAGCTTCGAAAGATTATTTTCGCAATAAGGGAGTGGCGACCAGTAGCACAACTCGGTACAATCCCCAAGGAAATGGGCAGGTCGAACGTTTGAACCAAACTTTGTGGAAGACTCTCTCACTTGTTCTAAAATCCAGAAGTTTGCTTATCACGCACTGGGAATCCGTTTTACTTGACGCTTTGCACTTAGTCATATCACTTTTGTGTACCGCCACTAGTGCGGCACCTCATGAGAGAACGTTTGTCTGCAATAGGAGGTCGACCAATCTCTCTATGTGGCTTACCTCCCCTGGCCGAGTTCTGATAAAGAAAAGCAACCAACAGTCCAAATTTGATCCGCTGGTTGAGGTCGATCTGCTCCGGTGTAACTCCCAATAAGCTCATATGCGACTCAATAATGGCAAAGAAGGAATTGCATCCGTTCGACTACTTGCCCCCAGGGTGAAAAAGATATTGGCGATTGTCATCAGGGGACGGCTACGTTCGAACCTGAAAATTTAATTTCACCTTCCCGTGACTACCCACCCATTATTGAGCAGGAAATTAGCACCATTTCAACTGACATAGTGATGCAACACGATGCTTACGATGTCCACATGCCTAGCCTAGAAGCACTGATCCAACAGAAACGTGTTCATCCATACTGCCTTCGCAACAGAAACCTCTAAACTTTGCCACTTGCAAACCTTTCCTTCCGATTTTTTGAAATACCGATCCTCCTATTGTTTGGCCGGGGTAAATGTGATGTTAACTTAAGCCCCTGACTAGATTCCATCTTGTCTACTACTGTTCAATTTTCCGTTCGAATTCTAGTACGCCAATTGTAAGATGAATGGAGCCCTAGTGTAGGGTATTCTTGTTCTGATTCCTGCATCCTGATTTGTTCGTGCTCTCTCGTGTGCTTGCTATAGTCCTAGCTACGACACCTAACACCTGGATTTTATGGAATTTGACAACGAATTCGGCTGGCTTCGAAGATAGCTACTCCAGTCTTTACGACGGCGCGTCGCGCCTCCCGATCTCGAGCAAGGTTCCGCCGGCTCAGTTAATTTGTCGATGCTCGAGGGAGGCCTTCATGATATTCTTGTAGCAATGCTTTGATCCGCCTTGTGTACAAAGGGTACACAAAAAGCGAAAATTATTAACTTAGCTAAAGATAGCATCTTAAAAGCATTAATCCCTTTCAAAATACTTTCCATTAGATGACATGCGCTCGTCTCTATGGTTTTTTTCGCGGTTCCAAACATTTGTTATACTTGTCTGAAATAGTTACACTAAAGGCTTCGAGCAATTTTTTTTCTTCACCCCCCCTGCGTTCTGGAAGTGCTTCCTCTCCCGGTTGTCCTTCATTCTTGAGAATAAGAAGTCGCGGGGGAGGCTGGGTCGGGCTAGCAAGGGGTTGATTTTGAACGCTATGTGGGCAAGCGCGTTGTCATGGTATAACAGCCAGTACGCCTTTCATCACAATTCAGGACGTCTTTTCCACTGTCTCACACGATCACTCCAGCACCTGCAGATAGTAGATTTGGTTCACTGCGTTGCCATGAGGAACAAATTCAACGCGAAAGAATCCTACGATGCCGATAAAACAAACCATCATGGACGGCGATTCGAATTTTATGTTGGCGCGTTGCTCCTTCAAGTTAGCCATCGCAAAATCACCGAGGGCTTTAGGGGGGGGGGGAGTTAATAAAACAAACACTCTGTCCGCTGCTATGGTTCATCATGAAAGCTATTTGGCCAACTAGGCAGAAGGAATGTCCAATAAACGTACCTAGTTGGAGAGGACGGCATTGCCAGCCCGCTTGTATACAGGAAGTAGTTTTCGTCTTTTTTGGGTATCTTCTCGTACGAACACCCGTAGGAACGTCACCGTTAAATATCGGTCTGGGCATGCGCTCGTCTGCCCTCATGACGTCGCCGTCTCATCACTCTTGCATCTGTCACAGCTTTGCGTGAATACTGAGGACGCTAGTTTTCTCTGCTACGTCACCTTCGGTTGCCGACCAAAACTCTGTCTGCGTTTTGAGATCTGATTTGTGATTTTTTTCGTTAACTCTGATGTTTTTTTGGAATTTCGCCTCTAAGATACACGAGTTTGTCAACTGGTGTTAGGCAAGTTCTGTTGACATTGATATGGGGTTCGCCGTAGTCAGTATCTGACACCAATTGGTGTATGACAGCTGTCTTCTCCATGATGATGGTCAAGCCGGAGTTGCAGCAGCCGCAGGCGAAGAGATCCACACAAGGATGTCTGACCACTGTCTGTGTCGATCTCAACTGCCAGCTTTGGTTTACTCAACCGCAGCCGCTTACCCTACTATGCTTTTTACACAAGCGCGCCATCGCTTTTCAATGTGGTCTTGATTTGCTATAAACTGTAGGAGGGCTTAGAATCCTTATTTTGCTTTTGGAATACCTATAGTTATAGTAGCTGGTCCTACTTCATTGATAGGTACTAATAACCGTGCCTATTGTGAATCTCCTCCTTTTAGCTCCCCAACCTAATGTGGACGCTGCCGTTTCTTCGTTCGGCACAGCCACTCCTCGGCCACCAAAGTCGGTTATTTTATCGAAGAAGAAACCAGGGGTTCGCCTAACCGCTCCTATTTCTCAGTGTTAACTTCGAATTTCACTTTTTGTCTACCTTAGTTTGTTCTAAAGTATTTACAGGAAGACGATGCCCCACCTCACTGACCTGTGTTAAAGTTCCATCGTACGTTTTCGCCTACTGTCAAAGTTTGCCACAAAAGTCACTTAATCTACGAACGGCCACCCCATAGATCGAGCTGTTTTCCTTTGCATTGTCATGTTTCGGATAGTTTATTGCCTACAACCCTAATCATCATCGTATGTCACACTGTCTGCTGTCTGTCTTAAAGGGAACTAAAAAGGGCGGGTTTGGTGGAGCGAAGGTGAAAACTGACTTTGCTGCAATCGAGGCAGCGGCCAACGAAGAAGCCAAACGACTAGAAATGCAACAGCAGCGGCAGCAACAGCAGAAGACTACAACCCCCGCCATGACGGAAGAACAGGAGGCTCGTAGGATGTGTGTTTTTTGCCTTCTAATTCCCCTTATCTCAACTTTTATGGGAAATTACTTGTTTGGTCAATGTTCTAAAGTGGTTCTCACCTTGTCTGCTCTAATCGATATCCTGGGATTTGTCCACTGGGACATTTTACGGATCTCTGAGGAATTGGAGTGAATTAAATCCACAACTGGGGGTTGCTATTCATCCGAAGCTAGTTTATCTGCTACTGAACGTCACTATTTGGATATTCACAAATTTGGACGCTTAAATTTTGGATTTCACCTCGTCTTCGGCGACTGTCCATAAGTTACTGGGAAACGTACCAGTGATTCTAGTTAGAGGCAGATCTTCATCTTAACTGGTGTAATTCGTCTTTTTGGGCCATAAATGTAACTGTGAGAGATATAGACCTCTCCGTTGGATTTGCTGAGAATCCCAATAGAACACTACACTTTTACATTTATCGCAAACTGTCCAACAACGCCCCTGGTCTTCATTTCCCTCCAGATCTTCAATGCGCCTGGCTTATCAGGATATTCAAGAGAAGCAGAAGAAAGAGGAGCCTATCAAGGACCCTAAAAAAGCCGAGCAGGTAGAACGCTTGGGCATGAGCAATTTAAGTGGCCGGACCAAGTAAGTTCCGTCATGGCATTTCGTTTTTTGTCATGTTCAACTTCACAGATTCCAGTTTGATGGTACTACATGACTGAATAAAAGTCTTCCTAGAAGTAGCTGAAAAAGCAGGGATGACCCTGATAATACTTTCATTGTTGTCAGCCGGCTATAGACGCCATAGCCGGCCATTTGTAAATATTCCCCAACGTAGTTTACAGGCACTTGTTCAGGGCTTAATGGTTAGGGCATTTGAGCTCGACTAGTTGGGGCTAATGCCAACCTCCCGCCGGCCGTCAGTTAAGTTGCGGTCGGTCGACTATGTCGACAAAGTCACATGGGGTTGGCCGCCACCGATCTGTCCTGGTTGCAGGACTGCAGGCGGTCGCAGTGCGCCATCGTCTGGGATTTACATACCACCGGATGATGGCTGCCTTTACTCATGGTAATAGCTTTGCTTTTGGCCATTCTATGCGTGCAATAAGTAGAAAATGGCAAAGACGCAGGAACAAACCCGACAACGCTCATTTCATTACATCAGCAATGATCGTGTCTATATCTCTGTCTTTGTCAGTCACACCTGTAAATTATTTCGACTGGATTGAGACTTGTTGTCCCCGTCTCCCCATCCCCGTTAGGGCAATTCATGTCTTTACTGAATGCTATTCAACTGCCTACCTGTACCCTAGACAGAGCTCAGGGGCAAGATGGAGTTAGCATGCTTCCGCACAATTAAGCCGGGGCTCCGAGTGCAGATCAATAACTACCTCTTTTCCTTGTGCCAACGCACGCTGCCGTATTTTTCAAGGCTGCCGTTTTTATGTGCTAATTTGGTTTGGCCGACATCAGTTTCAGTGATGTATCTTAGATATGTTTGGTACGAGCCTGCCCTCACTAGTTGTTCGGTGTGATCGTTCGAAGTTGTTTGTTTTGACACTTGATCCACTGGTACCTAACCACAAGGCAACTGTAACTAGATAACCTATTGACTGGCTGTTCATGGTCTCCGTTTCTCAGTACGACCGTCAAACCTTGTGGTATTCGATGGCGCGGCAAGCGTGCCAGGTCCTAGCCCTCCGCTGGCATTGCTACTGCAGGTAAACGTTTGCCTGCTTATCGACTATAAGTGTCTATCTGTTTTCCAGCCAGCCTTCGCTGAAGACGTTCCACTGTCAACCACACGTGGAGGCCTCGGGTAGCTAGCAGCTAGGCACAGTACGGACAGGTTTTATTTAAAACGACTGACGTTTATTGGTCACGCGAGAAATCTAGGCAATGAGGCTGTTAAACTAAATTATTGTATCCTCGAGACATGCCAGTCCACATCGGTGGATTTAAATCACAAAATCCGCCTATTATCCTATTTCAGAAATAACTCAAATTTTGGATTTTTGTGACGTATTGTTCCATTCTCGCTGTTTCGTGGTCCTTTTTCTGCATGTACAGTACGCGACCTATCGCATAAAACCTGATGACAAACTGATATGAGAATTTTCAGACGCCTTAAGCGTTACGCGTTTTTGCTCGCTCGTCCAGTCTCTTCAAGGAACTGCCCTTTTCTTGTCCAGAAAATGTATCCAAGTAATTTTATTAAGCAAAATGCTCATAAGTTTGGGCAGAAATGGACGTTGCGATATATTCTGGCATTTTTCTATGCTAGTACCCGTTCTAGACTTCAGTTGCGCATCTGAGCGCGTTTTTATTTGAGAGGAGGGTGATTTGCTCTCGGGAAATTTTACTAAACAGAGCTTGTCTCACTTGAAACTTCTTTTTTCTGTCCGATGCGAACCATGGGAATCAGTTGGCTAGCACTGGTTATTTTAGCAGAACCAGACGTTTTATAGATTTTTAAGTCAGACTGGCAAATCTGTGCCATTTGGTGCCCTGAAGTGCAGTACTAACGCACACAGACATTCCTTCATCTAAATGGACCGGAACTGTTTTCCTCATCGGAAAACTTTATGCTTTGACAGTGAGTTGTCATTTTCGGCCTAAAACGTACGTAATTTGGAAGTGGAGCGAGCAAGACATTAACAGTTTCAACAGACTGTCAATATTTATATGGCCACTGCCGTGCATTCTTAATCGTACAAGTGAGCAAAGATAGTGAAAATGGACGCAATATAAAGAGAAATGCATGCTCTTACGTCTGGTAAAAAATGTCAGTGTTTTCTATCAACGTAAAAGAAACAGCTATAAGCGTCCGATTTTTTGGTTTCACCGTATAAAAGTGCAAAGTACATAGACATCTGTTAACAGAATGCAGTATTAAGGCACCTTTTAGAAAGGTTGTTGTGGACGTCCCATTTTATTTCACGATGAGGTGTCATGTTTGAGTGGGTCTTCAAATGTGACTCAAACGACCTTTTACATGAAAAAGAGCGCCTAAATACCCACTTTTTCGTCAAATGCCTCCAACAAGTGTCTTACTTTAAGGGTTTTAACAAACGCATAGTACAGAATCTGTCTGTATGGGCAATCGATAGAAAACACTGAAAATCATGAAGCATTTAGCGATATTTCAAGGTCGATCTGAGACTCAACGTAATCCATAACAAACGGAAAGCGCAAATCAATTTCACAGCGGAAACGTTCTCGTTATATACATGGAATTGATGTTTGTGATTACATTTGTCAATTATATTTAAATTTATTAGTCACTGGCCCGCCTGTCAGCATGTGCCCTCACGAAAACTTTTATTTCTATGACGTTCTTATCGGCGAAATCAAGCAGAATCCTGTTTGCGTAAAAATTACCATGAATCCTCGAGAAAACGTTTTGGAATCTATACTCAGGATGTAGGCTATTGGCAAACCGCCACACCTTAAATTACACTAATTCTTAAAGGATATTTCAATGTAAACTTCTCCAAAAGATTATTTTGAGGGGTTATTCTATTTATACTGCCATATGTACGCGGTGAAACTGGAGTTTACATATTTAGAACCATTTTGACTTCTTCGGGATTTTCCGCCCTTCTAAAAAATGGTGTTCCTGGACAACGTAACATTACCCTTAGTGTTTTTGCATGTTTCTAAGTCCCCTGAAGTCTCTTCTTTTTAACATGGATATTGGCTCTTGCGTTGGTGTCGGTTTGCGAGTAATTAGCAATCATTCGTAAATTTCGACAATTCATGAGTTATTTAACCTACTGTGCGTTCTTTTGCGACAGGATTATCTCCCATTCTGCCCTCACAGACCTACAAACGATAGAACAGGAGAACAATGATACGTCTAACTCTCACTTAAAATCTGGCAAGCCTCACAGTCGATTCGAGGACCGGAGTGACGATCTTTTTGGTCAGTTTCTACTCAGTCTTTCCATCATATGTGTTATTTCTCAGCGACTTGAGCTAAAAATCCGAAACGACTTTACCTGGGTGGGGTTCGTGCCTTCTTGACCTAGCAAGCTAGCCGTAGCGCCCTGGAACCTCGTTAGCGCCTCATATAACGAATTCAATGGCATTGCTACAGATTGTATCAACTTTTATGTGATTAAGTATAAAGTTGGATCGAATATCAACGTCTTTGGAGGCGCACAGACACTACCGCCTGGCGGAGAAATCAGTGATTACTGCACAGACTGACCCTATTGCCCTCCATGAAGAAGTCCATTATTGAAGATGCCGGCTCGCGTTTTTGGCCCTTGCAGTGCTTTATGCTGTAAAGAGCCATCTTGAAAATCAAGACATGCATCCGCTTACCTCAATGGTAAGGTGGAAGACCACCGTCATAAACCTCCACTACAACTCCTCTCTACCGTCTTCTATACTTCGACAAGATATTTGCTGACATAAATAACTGGTGATCAAAACATCTTCGACGATGCGCTCGCTTCGACTTGTTCAGATATTTTGCAGCCGCATGGCGCAACCTGAAGGTGTCTTGATTTATGAAAGAATGTGCCTAAGACTCGTAGACAGAAGGGTACTTTTCCAATGCGTGAGTCCTGCCGAATAATGAAATGTAAATACTTTGTTTCCCGAATTTAATGAATGAACTTGTGGTAAAGTTGTCTTGTGCAGGAGTTATTAGACTCGTTCCAAATTTTCATGTTTAATTTTGTGTTGAATGTTATAAATTCGGCGGCGAACCGAGTATGTATGCTGATCTAGCGAGGGTCTGTTTTGATCAGAAAATTGTTCCATATTCTGCCAACACAGACACCGGACACGTTTTCGCTAGATTTTCTGATGCGCTCGTCGTTTTCCCCCGAAGTTGGTAGTATTTATGCAAAGTTCTGTGCAAAATTTAACCCGAGCTCGACAGGTTCTGTTCTGACGACCCAGCCGCAAGTTAGAAATTACTCTGAGGCGGAATTGTAAACCACTATTTGTAAATTGAAGATTTTATAAGGAAATACATTTAACCGGGCCCTTTGCAGTTGCGTCAGGGCATATCAGTACATGTGGTTACTTGTAATTTGGTAGACAACCACTTCAGCCTATGGCGATAGTCTAAGTAGACACTGCTGTTGTTGATGGGCAGTAAATTTAGTCTTCAGTCGTCACAAATCTTCAATAACTGAGCATATCTCCTGACTTATAGCCATTCGTTAGTCTTAAACTCCCGTTGAGTTGTTACTGCGGACAGCGGTTAGGTGGGTGACTTGTTGGAGAAATGATTTCCATTCATTCTGGAATTCAAAGGATGTCGACTCCTTCCACTCCGGCACAAATTGGAGGCTTCAAGATCACGCGGGAGGCCTTATTGGATGTTGCGTAACGTTCGTCACATACTGCGGCTACGGTTTGTGACTTCTGAGTCGGTACTCGGCTCTACCGGAAGGCTTTGGGACCAAATGGTTCGCGATTACTTACCTATCAGACTTAATAGCCTGCCTTTTTTACTAGAGGACATTCAACAACCCATCGCCAGCGGAAGCATTGAGCAGTCCGCAGCAAAAAATGACGGACTCCGTCTTCTCGGTAGTTATCTTTTTCCAGAGGGCTTGCAGTAGATATATGCAAAATAACTTTCAGCCTAAAGCACGTTAATAGATTTGCGATTTCCTCCTGCAGTTGATTGTATTAAACCTTAATGTTGGCACAAAATTTCGACATATGCTCAACAAGTTTGCTCCAGGTGCATCTGTTAGTTCGAGAGAAAATGATATGGTTATGCCTTACCATTCGATGGCGCCCTAGTGTAACATACTGTTGGAAGAAATTCTTCAATCTGTCCAGTTTACCCGTTATTATTCCTGCAGCGCAATCAATCCGGACTTACAAACGTGGATTAGTTTGCGAAAAATGCTGTACTCCACTCTTTTTCGCTTGATTTCCACGCCTATGAAGGATATTTCGTTAACCATAGCTGAATATTCAGCACATGATCGGTAGCCCTCTGCAGTGTTTCCCAGGTGCAAAGCCGCAGCGCACATCAATTCAAGGGTTGAATTCTGGTTTAGACTATCCGACTGACCACTAGTGCGCAAGACGTCCGCCTTAGTGACATCGAAACTTCAAGGACCTATGTTGTGCCACTACGCACTGTAAAACACGATCGCATCGAACTCAGAATTTGTCGAAAGTTCGAATACGCACGGGTTAATTTAGATAGGAGGGGCCTGTGCCGGATTTCGACATCGTTGTAGCCATAGCAACATAGCCAGTCGACCACAAAGTTGACTTGGTGAACCTACAGCATTTGGCCGACTGAATCAGCCATTACGAGTGCTGTTACAGGTAAAAGTAAGTAGGCCATGAGCAGCGACCACATGCGCGGACCCTGGACTTGTGTGCCGAGACAAAGCGGAAATACCATATTCCTTCCTACAGCCCGACTGCATGAATACACGCCTATCTCACATAGCTTCCGCTATTCCCAATGGCGGACGAGCACGTGGACCTGTTGTTCAACTGGTAGCGCGTCTGCCCCAGTGAACCCTAGTTCTCATTCCAGATCCTTTCTGTCCTGGGTTAGGGTATGGCTGATCGATGAATGGGAAGAAGTCAGCCATGGCTACTCTAGTCTTCGCGGCTGTCGGTATTTCATTCTCGACCTTCAATTGTTTTCACCGGCTGGATGTATCTTGCCTTATGAAGTAGCAGTGTCTGCCATTGCTGTTTTTTGTAATGAAGCATTTCCATTTCAGGTCGAGGAGACAGTTGGGTTGACGTGAGCAGCAATTGGATGGATAATCAAACTTCCAAGGCACCATTCTCGTCGAGTCGTTACGAATCTGGCGGGATTGCTGAGCTCCTGGCTGACCAGTCGCTGCGTTCCAGCACGGTCGCCTCCACCTCTTACTCCAGTCCTTACGAAGACCGTGAATCTAGGGTTCGAAGATCACAGCCTGTGGCCGAACCGACCTCTATTCCTGAAGAGTTGCGGGAGAAGTTGAAAAATGCCAAGTCCATATCTTCGGACGACTTCAAGTATGCGCAGCAGGTACGTATTTTGAGCTATTTCCGAACTTCCACGATAGGTTAGAAGAATAATTCTAGATTAGTCCTGCACTTTAGACTTTTCGCCAAATTCATGTCAGTTATCTAAAAGCGATCCTCGATATTCCTGCGTTTTTTTGCAAGGGCACGAATGCAGACCAATCTCGTTTCGAAGGTAGATCTGCCATTTCAAGCGATGAGTACTTTGGGCGAGCCCCTCCGAAATATCAGACCGACTACAATGACGAGTTGAACTCTCTGAAAGATGTTGTGAAGGAGGGAGTAACTAAAGTGGCTACGCGCCTTTCCTCTCTCGCATCAGGAGTTATGAGCACATTCCAAGTGAGCAGTTTGTCTTATTTCCTCAACAGAATGCACTAGGAACTCATAATGCTGCCTGAATTGTTTAAAAAGGCCTGTAACCAGGCAAAAAGTGTTGTATTGCAGTTGTAACAATGATTATCATAAAACAGTCATGTTGTATACTATTTTTGTGGATTTGTTATTCAATAGCTGTCACGCGGAAAAAGTAACCGAACTTGTTTTTGGCGCTCGTGTGAGTGTATAAGATGCCTAAAGATGGAATTTCTGCACATTTTACTCAAGATCATGACATTTAGATAATTCGTTTGGAGAGGATGTTTTGCTTTATTTCGTGCAATAAACTCGATTGCACTGGCATGCTTTTTGAGTAACTTCAGAAAGTCGCTCACGTTGAGTGCATAAATAGTCATGCCAGCGTCTCGAAAGCCCTTAGTCATCGAAACAACAACACCCTCGTCAGGTACATAATTGCCTGAAAATATATATGAACAGTAAAAATTCTATGCCATGTCCTAGTTTTTTGGAATCTGAGGGAAAAAGTAGGCAGTATTTAAGTAAATACTTTTTTCTGAACATGACTCCAAATCAGCACGCCACTGTGTGAATTGACTTGAATCCACGTTCTGCCATGTTCTTTGTTTTAGGAGCGTTACGGGTAAATAACTGACGCTGGCCGCGGTGTCTTCCAACGTGGAGAAACTTGGGGTAGAGCGACCAACGCTCTAACCCAAGAACTCATTACTTTTCTTCTGCCCTTTCACGCTTCCCAGTATACCTTGTAAACTGCTCTGTGATCCTCTATTTGAACTTACCTTCTTTTCTATTGCATCTCATTTCGTATTTTTCCCCTGGCACACCTCTGGGCTCCTAGCTTATTTCCCCGTGGAAATATCTATTGTTTGTGGTGGGGTTTAGTGTCTTGAAGAGTTGCCGACTTCTTTTGGTATCTTGCCGATCTTACCACTTTTGGTTAAGTTACCTGCTGACGACCAAGTCAGACGTAAAGACTGGTGCTGTGAAAGGAAACTATACTGGTACAGAAAGTCTTTCACTCTGCAAATTTATATCCCCTCAGTGCACGTCGTAGCAAGAACCATCTGCCGCTATACCGATACCGATTGCTTTAACTCATTCTCTGGGTGAGCGCAGTTACTTTTCTGGCCTGTTTCCTCTCTTCTCTGGCAGCTTGTGTATTTCCACGAAAATTCCCGCAATACCCTCGATAGCCTGACGCTGAAGCAGACCAGTTTCCGGGAGTCTCTTCCCACGTGCATGAGATCTCGTCCTATTGTAATTACGAAACTGGCGTTTGTGGCAGTGGGGACTGTCGGCCGTCCCCCTCGTTGATTAGAACAGCGATCACCCTGTACCTTACAAGCAACAATATAGATGTATAACGGTTAGCTGGCAGGCATCAGCTAGTAGATTCAGATGGGAGTGGTCGGTGACCTCATACAGTTGTGGTCCTTCCCATGAGTGGTCGTCCAAACTTCCAGGCCTGATTTCGTCTTGGTGCCTACGGCCTTACTTTTCCACCTCCTTTCTACCAACTAAAATTGCTGGATAGGTATCGTGGATCTCAGCTTCAGCATTTGAGGGCCAACGCCCAAAACGCAAGTCGGTGACTATACTGAACCAACATGAGTATCACCTGCGCTGTGGCACACTTCAGGAGTGTCTCGCGCTGTTTTTGGCGGGAGCGCCTTTTCAAGATAATTGAGGTTTTCAGTGGAAATCCACCAAAAACTGCAGGACTAGGGAGCAGTGTGGATCTCTCGATGGTATTTTTTAATCCGAGACTTACTGTTTATTCACCCTATCCCTCCATAAAATGTGTGCCAGATCTTATCTGTTGCCGCGTTTGATGACGGTTTCGACGAATGCGATTACTCAGTAGTAGTGGCACACGAGCAAGGACGTGAGAAACTGAATCAACAGGCATCTTACGACTTCTTAATTTTGTCATACCCGACATCAGTGATCGAAAGACGAACACATGCACTCACTCCGCATAGGTGGCTCAAAGGTGATATCCTACAGAAGACTCGACAACGCCAACTAAGGGAAGTTCATCAGAGCCTCGCCCCCGCAGGCGGAGTTAGCAGGTTACGTGTTATCATAGGATAACATGTGCAGTCCCACCCACCTGGCTTCTCAGAAAGTGCATATTTAGGTTTTTAAAAGTTCCTAATTATGAGATCTTTTAAGATTGTGCAATGTCTATTTGAATGGAATCATATCTGTCCGTTTATTAATGCTCACCGTGAAGTACACAACATAGTCTAGATCCATTGTATAATCTGATGAACCGTATATGGTATCTTCATGACGGCATGAAGGAACTTATGAATTTCCTTTCACGAAAAGTAGACTCAAGAAATCCAAGTGCAAATGCAACGCCGAATTGGGTTTAAAGTTATTCGGTAATTCTAAAGTCTTTTAAAACCAAGGTACGCTCTTCCTTTGAGTATAGAGTTGAGGAAGACTGGGTGCTACTAAAATAAGTATAGGAAGGCATATTTTTGTGCATTTTTCAAAAAAATAGTTGAATTTATAAGGGCACCGAGAATCGATGGAAAAAATGAATACTTAACAAGCGGAGAACGAAAAGAAGTGCATTAAAAAACCGAAATCCTGTGGTGTCTGAAATATCCTGGGAAAATGTCGCAAATAAGTCAATGCTTCAGTACTACATAATTAATCCTCGATAGTTGAAAATACATTTCGGGATTTCGGTTAACGTTTCGTAAGATCGGCGGCTGCCCATCTGTCATTGACCTTCTGTCACTATGTACTTTTATAATCTACTGTTTAACCTACCAACCATACACCGTCCCAGCAACAAACAAATGAATTAAAAAGGCGAATGCGTTCAGAGCTTTTTTATTTTTCTCAAGGAAGACATCCTACGGAGATAAATGTACAGACTAACTCAGTGGAACATTTTCTCCACTCATACCGCCTCTGCGGCCGGCGAAGAATCCGGTGAGGATGCGTCACTACTGTTCAACGTCCGCAGTTCTGCCGCCAGGTCATTCCTACCGATCGCGGTCAGGCCGTTTATTAGAAGGTTTGCCTGGCAAGAATTCATAGAAAACAGGCTTTGAGGAGGGTTCGACAATTGCATATGCTAGAATTGCCTGGTCATTTCTCATCATTGTTTGAGCCTTAAATAGTGCCTTGTCTCAGCTGGCCAGCCTGCTTGCTACAGTTCTCGAAAGCCAAAAATCGTTTATTAATTGTTGCACTCATCGTTCGGTTCCTCTGCGTCATTTTGTTGATTACTCTGTTGACTACGTGGCCCACACATAAAATCGCTCGCCATGTCCTCAGGCGACGATGCGAGCGGCGTGAAGAAAAAAACTGCTTGTTAAACCAAACTGAGGCACATTATCGTGGGCGACGAATTGCCTGAGAAGTTCCTAAAGCTTACTCTAAAGCACTGCTGACTGAATTGCTTGTTTTTTCAAAGTACGCCATAATCAAAGTAGCAGATTATTGGAGCAATATCTCCTCTGCGATGTAATGGGATTCAGTTCACAATAATTGCCTATTTGGTCGAATGCTCAAACCAATTTTACTGTGCGTAGATTTGATATCGTGTCGGTGCCGCCAAGAAGGCATGGCAGTTCATTTTGACACATCATGAGGGACGAGTTTTCTGTCCGTTAAACAGAAGTTGTTGGCATCACGGCCTGAAATAAATCCGGTGGTCAATGCAAACGAACATACTAACGGTTATGTCCAGCAGGCGGGATTGTCCACGAAAGCAGGCGGATCACAACTTCATGATCGCCTTAGACTCAGCCACATCCAACTTTCTATTCCCCGGTTTTGGGTTTGGTTTTCCGATTCTAAAATAAAACTGTCACCTCCAATCATTTTACCAACGAAAGCTGGTGGCACTTCTTGCGCAACGCAATCCATATTGAACTCTCTGGGGGTTTTACGGGTAGATCTGCATCGTCAGAGTTTTGTGACTAGTTTTCATTTCACCTACGTCTTTATAAGTGAAGCCCGTGCTAGCACGCTTTAATCTGTATCGATTCCCCACGAAAGATATCAAATTTAAAGGTGGCCAGAGAGGGCCGGCTCACAAATTTTCATCCTCTGCGATTGAAATGCTACCTCCGGAATATCATTTTTTACGCACTCAGAGATAGAAAACTGTTTAGGAAGCATACTTTTGGTTTAAGTAAATGCTCCGCAGGTCAGTGCATTTATACCGCAGACACGGGGACCACCCTGTAGAATTATGCGGGCAATGGTGTTAGTCTCGTCTTGGGGAGGCAGCGTTTTTGCTTTATCCCGAAAGTCGTAGATACATGTACCTCCACTGTGCATCCCCTACGACAACCTGACTGCAGGCAAGAGCTGACGTCTGGGCTATGCTTGGAAAAGACGGAGTTAGTTTGCAGTGAGAACGCACCCATGTGTACTGTCTTTCACCTCATATTAACGGTTCTAGTGGCTCTCGGTTTCTCCTCGTCAAACCTTGGAATCGCTAATTTAGTTCACAGTTGTGGGGTTAAGTCTACGGTCTTTCCGGTAACGTGTTATGAAATAACACTTCGACCTCAGCCTACGAGTCGAGAAGAACGGCCTCAGCCTTTGCCTTTTTAAGTGCACCCCTTTAGAGGGCCGAAAGCGTTATAGCAACAAAGGGTAAATCTAACAGCCAATAATAATAATAATAATTTTAAGATGCAAGGGAGCTTTGCTAAGAGTAATTATTTCAAAACAAGTGGAAATTCTAACTCCAACAGAGGCTTGCCAAGAAGCAGTTCAATGAGTACAAATGTTTCATTTAGCGAAGTAGCAAACGTCCTTACAGGGAGTAACTCAGTTCACCAGTAATTGAAAAGCCCGAATCGAGACTTGGTTCACGCGATTGCGGTGGGATACTCATTTATCAAGCCGGTGTACCAGATGACGAGGTGCTAGTTAAACATGCACGGGAGCAGACCATCTGTTGAATGTCAGCAGACCTCAGCACCAAGAAGGCACGATGGTCAAATAGACTGCCTTTAATCATTTATTTAGAAGAACGCTTAAGTAGCATGACAATCGAATGAGATAAATCGACGGATGAGGTAAAAGAGCACCAAAATAGGATGCTCGGAAAACATCCTCAGGTGCATGTCAGGTACTCCTTAGCCGACTATAAAATGACCACCAATCAGATTTCCGTGGGTGATAAAGAGGAGTGGACCGCCCTGACAAGTATTTGAAGGTGAGTAGCGACCTCTAAGCGCAAACTCGTGGAGTGCGCTCAAGTCAAGCGCGTGCTCTATTTCTGCTGGAAAATTCGAGAAACCAGTTCAGACCTAAAAAACGCGCTGAGGATTGGCGAAAATTGGCAAGGGCTCAGTGAGTTTTTATTACGATCTAACGCACTGTAACTAGTGACAGCAATCAGGACATACCTTTTAGCCTCGACATAATGCTCTGTCTTGTCCACAGGTTAATTGTCAACAAATTGAACTCACTTCCAGACCTGCCTGTTGCTCCCATGACTGCCAGCACCACCGTCCTGTTGAGTTACTCAGGTCGCAGACTTCCGAAAAATACGCGCCTGCCAGCCTTCGGCCGCAGCGTCTGTGGTCGTTATGAGCAGTATAAGGACTGAAACGTTTGCTGCCCTAGCTGTGATTCTCGAGTTTCCATATGCTGTCCCCTGCCGCCGCTTGCACGGTTTCCCCGTTGTCAGCCACTTCACTTCTGAGAGTGTTCCACTTAATCTACGCCCACTCATACTAGTAGAGTCTGCACCGATGAACTCTGGTCCGAGGGTAATAACTCGCTGTCAGACTCGTGACTTTGGGGTTCTTGTTTAGGCCTGATAACGCATAAATCTTGAAGGGACCGATCATAGCCATCTGAGGATAAGGTATTTGGTATGACAAGACGGTCTGTTAAGGGTTATTCTGGTAAGATTCACGGAGGGACCTCCTGACCTTTCAGAAGATATCAGGCGGTTCTCTACTTTTGTGCAAGCATTTCCACCCCAAATGAATTTACTTTCCCCTGCCTTCGTTCATGTGGAGGTCGGCTTTTAGCTGGTAAGAAAGTAGTGATATGCAGTGTACTCTGCGGGCCGATTAACTACTCGACTGTATCGAAGTAGGACCACGCAAGAACTGCGAAGGAGAAGTTAATGATGCGCAGTCGGATTCTTCTTGCAACAAACGCTTTTCCGTTTTGTGATCTCGCTACTTCCTATAGCCTGCTTAACAAAAAAAATTAGAATTACCACACGTTAAAAATTACGTCAAGTATCTATTGCGTTATCGGATATAACTGCCAACCCTTCTGCACACAAGAAGTTTCCCTTTCGAACGCAACAGATCACTCTCTCTCGGGCTAATATAGACACGTCTTCCTCGTCAAGATAACAGAAATACCCGCTAGTTGATGCAGATGGCAGTTGATGCTGAGAAAATTTAGGAGAGGAAAGTGGTGGTGGGTCGACCGGCCGGCAGCGAATAATTCTCTCAGTGCGATGCCAGTGGTTCGAAGTGTCTCACAAAGAATGGCCCAGTACTTATGAGTTACGAGCTAGACCATGTGCCTAGCGCCTTATTGAAGGATATTGCCAAAACTGACACCAAGGTTTTCCTTGAAAAAGAAAGCGGTGATTCTTATCATGTCCTAAACCAGAAATTTTCTTCCCTAGAAGACAAAAGTGTAGAAGTTGTTAGCATACTTGTTAGTCTAAACGGTGATTCTGTCCACATGAAGTCAGTAACCAACAACAAGAGCGTCTGCTGCGAACGCATTCAAAATTATTTTAATTTGCTAGCCGTCAGGATATGTAGGAGGTAGGCAATGACATGGCGGACGCGACTTATTACCTCATACACGTACGTTTGGAGTGTTACAGCGGAGACTCGCACGGCCTATATCCGCCGCCTGTGAAGTTAGCATTGTAGTAATGCAAAGCGTTTTGCTTTAATGTGCTAGAAACAGCCTGCAAATTTGCACTACTCTGATTGACACTTTTACACACGCCGCTGCCTCCAGGGTAATTTGTTCCTTCTGATGTGGCTGCAGTAAATAGCCTGCAGACAGTAACGATGTTTGTCGGAAGATAGAGCCATGTACATTCGGTAACCGGGTTTTTGTTGGGTAGTAAAATTCCAGAGTAAAAACAGCTGACTGCCAATCAAATAAGCGGTTTCTCATGATCATTGGTTGTGCGTTACCATGCGAGTGTCTGCAAAGGTTCAGGACCGGAACTCCAAGACCGGACGAAACATCTATATTCCGCCCTACGATCCACGATCCGAGCATCCAATAGCATTGAGTTTTCAAATGCTTTAATCGTAGCCGATAGGACGTGAGCCATCGCTCTAGTACCACAGCCACCTACTCAATGGCCAAATGTACCAACGATCAATAGCCGGGTCTTCCAAGCCTGGGACTAGTGTACGAGTGGCCAGTGAGGTCAATTTTCATTGTTGGTTATGCTTATTAGGGTACTTTCGTCATAGCTACTCTAATTGTTTCATTCTTAAACCGAAATGAAGAGAGTGAAAAATCGGTATGTAAGCTTCGCGGGACAAACGAGACTTATTTTTTCGTCCCGAATGAACGATGTAATCGAATAATTAGATTAACCATTATTGTAATCGCTGGCCTGCATTATGGTTACTCATGAGTGACTATGCATTCCCCGTACTACCGGTAGCTTCGAATTAAATTATGGGGGAGGTACTTATTTCCATGTCTTAGCCCTAAATTTTACTAAAGTCACGACTAAAATCCAGACCAAAAACCTAACCCCAACACTATCTTTAACCCCTCTTGGAATTTAGCCCTCACCAAAGGCGGTTAGGACATCGGAATTTAATCCCTGGAAGTTAACTCAAGGCCACCCGTACTATAAGGGGTGCCTATTCCCGTGCTTCTTCCCTGTGCAATAGCCTCCAGCATCGTGGAATGCTTGCATAAACGATTTCTATAAGTGACTTCCTATTCCTTGTTGCTTCGTTTCCTGGTTACATTGACCTAGTTACGTTATCTGGCTCGTTGAACTTCTAGTAATTTTTCTCTACAGCCGTCATTAGTCCATTCTCATGACTCCAGCTGACTATAAATAAGATGGAGATGCTAAAAAACTTGAGGCTTTTTGACTGTTTTTTCTCATGTCTTCAGAAAGTTAGCAAAGTCTGTGCGCAAATATTCAGCCTGTGTATAGGGTAGTTAGCTAACTAATTTCTATAGCTAATTGGACTTAAACTGAACAGCTGTCTCAGAGCTCTAAAAAAACTGAATTTAAAATATCGAGTTGAATTTTGGTAAACGACTTATAGCGTGGATGCTTAATTTTTGTGGAAAACCGGTACGTTCACAATCTCCGTCTAATACATCCTCCTGAATCCATGCAATTTGTGCCCCAAAAATATCACCATAAACTTACCCTATCAGCTTCGAGCGGCAGGTTCTTAACCCAACTGTGGAGCATCGTAATGGCCTTATTCTCTCCGGCCGATTCAGCTCGACCGCCAACAGCCTGAATTTGCGTTTTCGTCATGTTCAGAGCCAGTCCTAGTCGTCTCCATGTGTCGCCAAGCAGTTTTCTGGCCAGACCTTCAAGATAATCGTCGGTAACGGCGTCTAAAGTGCAGGAGGGTATAAATGAATGGTTTTTACTGAACAAGCTATTACTGCGAAGAATCAATCTTGTGGTCGACCATTATCGTTGTGCCGCTCACGTCCTTGTTCGATGCCCCATTGCCTCAAGGTCAAGCACCAGCATCGCGAAGGCTCATACTGCAAAACACCTTCGTTCAGTCCCAGGCACGTTAGCCTACTGACTTTAACGTTGCACATACATGCGCGGAAAATGCAACAGCCAACAATGTCACGTGCAGCGCATAACACCCTGGCCGGAATAACCGGCCCCTTCTCTTGGAGGCCCGTTTGAACACTCTAACTCTCACTCTTCCATAACAGCAGACCGACAGTTCGACCGTCGTGACTCAACGATGTCAACCGTGTGCTCCAAAGCAAGGTAAGGTAGGCACGGTGACTTCCGCGTGAATTAGTTTATAGTGCAAGTCGATTTACGCATCATCTACCGCCCTACCTCCTACCACCTCGGCCCAGTGTCAAGACATAGTCAAGAAGACCAGAGGCCGGAGGGGACGCAGGTGGTTGGCACGGCCGGACTCGCACCTAGGCATATCACCACACCACCTGGTCTACAACAAACACTTGACCTGGATTTTAATCAAAAACAACAATGAGGAGACAGAGATCCCAGTTAGCGCGACGTGGGCCGACAGCTGGGCCTGCCACCAAACCCCGATAACGCCTGTCAGAATCCAATGTGCATCCCGTGTTGGTCCAGCGCATCGATCGAGTAGCCCGTTCGGGGGCACATGACAACAGACCACGTTACGTAGGAACTACCACATTCAGGTGCCTCCCATCTTCTCCTTATAAGTGAGTCTCAGTCTAATAATTGCAATGGTTAAGCAACACCCACTATTTTAGCTGCCATAGACTCTAAGAAGATTTACCCTCCCGAAACCCCACGTATGATCAGAGGCAGAAATGAAGTTGCGGTAGAAATGGGACAGGATGGATATGCAGTCGCATTTCTGCTGGTGGGGGAACTTCCGCCCAAAACCCCGATCGTCGAGAACTCCCTGCAGATGTTTGTAAGCGGTACGACAAGCATTAGGTCGACGCGGCCAGCTGAGCGCCGTGCCTTCACCGTTATTGCCACTTAGCAAGCAGCTGTGTAGTGACGTCATCATATGAATGCTGCATCTCCCATGTCTCTCTGCTTGCTTGCGCTTTCACCTCGAATGATGTATCCGAGTAGGAATATGGAGCGCCAGACAAATAAAACTTCTCGTCGTACAATGTTGCTATCCGAAATTAGCATTTTCACGTGTTTAAGCACCAGGAAGGCGAATTAAAGCACTAAAGCAGTAATGAAAGCAACAGACCTTTAGAAACAAGAGTGAATGGCTGGAGGACACAGGCTCCAGCCTGTTCCGAAGGTTGCTTTGGAAGTTTTATAAGAAGCTGACATAGAAGTACAGTTTCCAACTCCATGACAAATTTCTTGTTGCCAACCGTGCGAGCACCTTTCCTCTTTTTTGCTGGTTTTTTCACCATGTGCTGGAAGGTGACTTCAAGAAAGCCGCGAAACTTTTCACAGGCTACTTGAGCACTTGAATCGCACTCCTCAACATCCACCTGGGTAGGGGGGAAATGACACAAGACATTAAATTTGTAGCCCTGTTTTAACAGATACGATGGGCCAAATCAAAATATGTGGAGTTAGTAAAAACGACTGAAAATGAAGTCAAAAGCATGATGTTAAGCGTTTATGTTTGATCGGGTAAAGCAAAACGAAACTCTTTTCTCTTCTCTAACTATTTTTCGCCGTACAGGTGAAGAAACCTGCGCTCCATAGTGTAGGTGGACTTCTGCGAAATTCCGAAGGAGATACCTATTGCCATGTTCAAACTTTAACCTTTACTCCAAAACTGACTCTACTGATCCTACCGTTAGCCCCAATCTTTTTACTAACCCCAACCATGGCCCCCCTGAAATACAGCGGATGTCAGCCTGTAGTATGAAGGGAGTACCTACGCCCGTGCCTCTACCGGAATGAGAGACAAGATCTGATTGATATAAACCACGAAATCTTCACGTCTTTGGATAGAAGTTGTTTTTTGAGTCAGCTACGTCCTTAGATGTATCCGCTTGAGGTAGGAAATGGCCTCTGAAAATGGATGATCACAAACGCATTATGATGGTAGGCGACTTCTAACTAGCAGGTCGAGAGTTCGAGTCTCGGGTGTTCCACACTTCGGGATTGGGCATTACTGGCTGACGACGGCTAAAAAGCTAGAAATGGCCTTTCCAGTCTCCCTTGTGTTTGTCGGTAATAAAATACTACCAACATATTAATTATAACGCGTTTTCTTCTACTGAAACGAGAATCCAAGAGGTCCACATGTAGACTTTTGAGTGTTTGATGTCACTCTGTGCCTTTTTTGAATTTTGGTTTGTCGAAAAAATGCTATACCTAAGTAGCTTAACACCAGTCTGTAAATTCGCACTTTATTTTTTGGCCAGGGCAGTGTAATTTGTCGATTATATATTTTCGCCAGTGCATTGACGACAGCTGCCGAGCAAATCGGATTGTTCCAAGATAAGGCGAGGCAAATCATTCTGCATAAACACAGCAACAATTGCAGTCCGTCTTCTCAAAATACTTTTTGTAAATGAAATAATTTCTTGACTGGTGCGGATCTTTTATGGATTTACATGTGCGTGTAACATTTAGCACTAATTTTATGATAGCTCGACCGTCGCGTCTGACGATCTCCACCGTATGCTCCACAGCAAGATGAAGCAGGCACGGCGACTTGCGCATGAACTAGCTTATAATGGGAGTAGACTTGCACAGCCTCTATCGCACCACCTCCTCCCCATCTGGGGCCAGTGTCAAGACGGACTCAAGAAGATGGGAGGCTAGAGGGCACGGGTGATCGGCACGGCCGGACCCGCACCTAGGCAGATCACCACACCCCCTGGTCCACGACAAACACTTAACCAGGATTTTGACCAACAACAGCAACAGCAGGGATGTGGTTGACTGGGCAGCCATGCACATGAACTGCATACCCAGCGGGAGCGCAAACACATCTACTGCCAGAGAAACAGATACCGGAGAACTGCGAGAGTACATCCGGCTGCGAGGGCCATGGTTTGCTGATCATGGCATAACAGACGCTCACAAACCTTGGTAAATCCCACATACAATTCCATGAAAGAAGGGACAGATATTGGGAGCAAAATGGAAAATGCGAGAAGTCGCTCGAAGGCGCCAGGAAAAGGTGACCAGAGTGACGGATCAAAGACCGTCAATATTCTTAAGGGGATAAGTGAAGTCTTCATAAGGAATTAACAAATCACGGCCCGACTACTCTTCCCAATTTGGGCACGCGAAGCTGTCAGTGACAGGTAGGCGTAACTCAAGATAAAAAGCGTAAGAAGGCCACACAATTTCCTAAGGGGTTGTTTTCGCGAGTTATTACTGGGACGATGGTAAGTACAGCAACGACGTCGATGGAACGACCTACTGTTAGGGTGGACAGAAACAGTGTTGGGCAGAACGGTGTCGCTACGTGTCATGTTACCTAGGTCTTCGACTAGAGTTCGTTGTGTGCTCTTCAAAGAAATCGGGATCTTTTGACACAGTCACGAGCGAATTGTCGATGTCTAAAAAGAGACTTGAAGCCATGTATTCGTACAACCCTGTCGCTCCTCAACACATATTCCATTATTTCAAGTATAGTATTAGACGCTATATCCTACGTTCCAAGAAATTTTTAATATTTTCCATAGTACTATTTTTCTCACCCTTTCCTAACAAGACACTTTATAATGTCAGAAGATAAAAAGCTCATATAACACGTGTAAATATGTAAGCGCGCAATCGAGTTGCCAAGAAGTGCCAAATGGTCCTGTTGTATCCATCTGGTCAACGCTTGGAATTCTCCACACTCTGCTCGCAAGCGCTTACACATTTGGTCCCTGCTGACGTTCCCATTTTCCCTTTTTGTAACGCTTTTTCGGACGTGATCGACGTTCTTTTAATTAATTAGTTTTTGTATTCTGACCTTAAACCGGGACTTTGATTTGCTCGAACATTAAAAAAGGAATTCTTTGTCTAGGGCATCCATTGTTGAGATTTGTACGTTTTGTTTTATTGTTAGCTTATTCTATCAATATTACCGTGTGTACACCGAACTCTATTTTGGCTTATACGCGTGTCTCAAGTTGCCAAGAATTTTACAGGTCCAATTTATTTTCGGAAAGAGGTGCTTCAAATTGTCATCATTAGTGTTCTCTGTGAATTTGTTCTAATCGGCTGCTCAACTTACCAAAAATCTACTAGAGGATGTTCACGACTTCGCGGCCTACGAAGAATTAACGGAAAGGACATAGAGGAAATTCCATTTCTGCCTCAACTGGAAAAATTGCCACTTTTCTCTATAGCGTGTCAAGAGCTATATGGAAAAGAAAGTCGTAATCTTCAAAAACTCCGACCGCTCTTGTTCTATTCAGGTCAGTCAGGTCACGCTCCGTAAGACACCCCGCCACGGCCGAAAGTGCTGGCGTAGGTCTAAATACGTTACAGAAGTTTTGCGCATTAGTTGCTTATTCACTTAACTGGAAAGCTGGGGTAAAAGTGTGATGATAAGCCGATGCCAAATTACCATAAAACTCGCAGTTTCTGTGTCGCAGTTCCGGACGTGTACATCTGGAGGACATGTCGAATTGTTCGACCGAAAGTAGAGGTTTAATACTAAGAAAACTAGGTCCTCTGTTCCCTCCCCCTTTTCATGAAAGTTGAATGCGGGCACATTGCACTTCTGGCGCGAGGTTGAATCGTAACCCTGAAATGCTTCAAGTGTAAATATCTGAAGGACTTAGAAGAGCATAGGTGTTGGTTGTGTTAGTGGAAGTAATTTCTCCATTACCAATGCTGTTATTATCAATGACATGAAAAATAGCATCTGTGGCATGTGGTACAACAGCCGGTAAAAAGAGGCCGACTAAGCTACTTTGTAGACTGAAAGTGGTCCTCGTGCTCAATTCATGTAAGACCACACATATTAGGTGGCCTTTCTACGCTTTTTTCCGAGTTGATTGGAATTTAGGAAAATTACTGCCAGAAAATACAAAATACCCACTATGGAAACTAAGGAAATCTAATTATAAATGTGTTAACAGAACTATGTGGTATTGCTTTTCTTTCGGAAAATATTCACCTGAGTCAGCAAGAACTAAAACGTAAATGTATCTGAGATAGGAAGCACATCAGCTAACTTTACCAATGTCTACTAGGCGTTTTCCAGGAATAAAGTAGAATGTTTTTTAGGATTTCAAGGGAAGAGTAGTTGGTCGGATCGTAGTTATTTAACGGTTCGAACATTACGGTTTATGGCCAGGATCTCCACCAAATCTAAAAAGTGCGCGTTGGAAGGAAATAAACACATTATGCCAGGCTGCCTTATCTTTGAAGATGTTCGAAAGACGGCGGAGGATTTTAAGTCCCACTTCCGCGACAGGCATGTCTGGGGTCGCTTTCCATCTTTATCACCTCAGTGGTTAACCCGTTTCTTGTTAAACACAGAACTCACCATATAAGTGTTCTGCAAGGCAGAATTAAAGGCTATACGCATTGGGCCATCATCCATTGACAAATGACGTGAATCTCGTGGGCCACCCTTCTTGGGACGGATATTACCCTTAAAGGCGACCTCAAAAACTTGACGCTCGTAAATGAAGAGAGGACCAGTCGGCTTGTCTCCCTCTGTGTAGCCCGCCGTTGCCAACTGTCCCAACGTCTTGTCAAGATTCTGGGCCAAGCATATTGCCAGGCATATTTTGCTGGGGTTGTTGGACATTTGACGAAGTATGAAGTAGACCATGCGTTGGGAAAGACTGCGCTCCAGGATGGTAGCTGTCTGCAAAAGACTCTCGGGATCCATCACCGTCCTCGATTTTATGCACAGTATTCTGCAGTAGCAAAAAGAAGACGGAGGACGGTCTTGTGCATGTAGAGATGCCTGTGTAAGATGCATGAGGCTGCAGGGTAGAGGTTATCATTCCGACAGAATGACAGCCGCTCCTAATCATAACATACATTTGATTGAGAAATAGTCGTTGGTCTACGTAGTGCGCGACAACTATCCATTGCCCCACCAACCTGTGATTTGCGACGATATCACATTCAATTGCAGATCCCCACCGTAGGCTAGATTGGAGAAGGGTAGCCGGACTCCAAGTTCGACTCTAGCAGGTTTGTATGTGAGGTCTGGCTAGTTTTAACAGAGGAAAAAGTAATTCGACATTCGAAAGACGGGGAAATGTCTGGTTATACACTGCACCCAACATCTCCATCTCTCTTCTTGAGTCGCTCTTCGAGTATGAGAAGACAGTGATCTCTGCTGAGCAAGCTTCGCTTATTGTAATGCAGTTTACGAGCATGTCACTGCTTCGCCCGTAATTAGCGAACGATTGTGTGTGCAAGATATCAAGCTAATGATGAAACTCGGGGCTTAATGTCAGGTTGGTTATTGTGTGGGACGTCTTCTTTGTTCGGCCTAATTTCCGTCTTGTCAGCAGTCTGTTTGGGCAGGGGGAGAGAGTCAGAGTGTTTCTGTGTCGTCTTACCTCCAAAATGGTCTACCTGACAGGCTTTTTTGGCTTTCACAGCGCTCGCAAAATCCTGGTTATAAAATTAGCGAATCGGGGGATAGGTTGACCCCAGCGGCTGAGAGCCAGATTCCAGTGGCTCCCTCTTGTCAGCCGAGCGACCGGTAAAAGAGGTGAAAAAATGCCAAGTCATCCACTGCGTCTAGTCTTATGTTTAGTGGATTGTGACCTGTTCTTTGTCCAGAATGGGAAGAGAGATTTTGCTTGATACTGCGCAAACCGTTCTCCCTACATTCCCATGCCTTTGTTATCCCCCCAATCAATACGGTTAACGTATCGTGTACGTTGTCTAGACTGCCAAGGGATATTTGAGCAAGGATCGAATATATAAGTACGCTGAGAAAGTAGACCACAGCGACTCCTGTAAAACGGGAATGATCGTTAGATTATTGAGTAGGGCATTCGAACGAGGCAATAAATGCAGTCCGAGAAATAATCAAGAATATTAGCATTTCCGTCATACGTTTGTTTCATTTCTTCAGCGAGATGCCGTAATAGATGTGCAATTTTTAATATGCCACTTAAGAGCGCGTAGATGGATGAAAAACAGGCAACCAATGCTATTGGTTAGCGATAGCCGGATCTGTAAAGACAGTATGTGGCAGGTAAATTCAGCCCTAACCCCAACCCTCACTCTAATCTTTAACCTAATGCTAACGTCAGCCCTAAGGCTAGTTCTAACCCTTAATCATAATCTTGAATGATAGACCCTGACCGCGTAGTCCGAACGCCACCCCTAAATCCTAATTCTAACTGCAAACGCCTTACCACGACAAACCATAGCATGACATGCCTACTTAAATTAAATACGTAGGCATGTTCTCGCGATAACACGTATTCGCATGTTCGGTCCTGGCCAATACCAGATTAACCAAATTTACTTTCGTGCGCATTGCTTTTTTGAAGTGGAGATTTTCTGTGATGAAAGGATACTAATATTCTGACCGCCTCCTTCATAATTCTGAAGAGTGAAAAATAGCTACCTCCTCAAAATCATGATACTAAGTGGGTTTTAAAAACTGGAGACGTATGAGGACTGGCATAATTTTGTAAAACAAAAGCTTTTGAAAACTCTACATAGATTAAAGGATGTGCTGACTGATCTCTGATTTTAAATGCGCAAATGGAGAGGCTTTTTCGACAGAAGCACTTTACATCCGGTTGTTATGGAAGCAAAAATGGTGTTGGAGAAAAAATTTATGCCGTAAAGTAGGCAGCTCTCGTCCAGAATCGCACAATCCAATTAGTGACTCGACGACCGGCACTTTATGCTTTTTGGTCCGGTGCGCATTGTTTAAGGCTGACTAAAGTGCCTAGTAGCAGACGCTTTGAAGCACCGCTGACAGAGTCGAACGATTGGCCTGTTGGAAATTTCTTCGTTTATCACAGAAAATGTCAAAACCGCCTAATATAATGTCCTACCCCAGGTAAGATGCTTAAGCGGCATGTGAAAGTGAGTTGCGAGATAAAAGGTTACTGATTACTGTCCCTTGATTTATTTATTATGATGCTCCCATTTGTAATTTCTGATGTGCGAAAGGGTAACCACGCTATGCTCAAGTTTTCCAAAATTTTTAAAGTACATGCCTCCGGGCTGGAGTCTAAATCATAAGGCGGTCCTTGTCCTTCATTATTAGTTTTAATATGAGGGCGTTTTACAAAAGAGTTGTACTACAGTTTTTCCTAGTCATTAGGAAGTCTGCTTTGTGGTCAAACGGTAAATATCTTTCAATATTACTTCAACTTCACTAAGTAATCGAATTATTAAGTTCCACCCCACATGACTATCTGCAAACCATGACCAAATAAAGTTATATTGAGCATTTCGTGGAGGACGCACTTGCGAGGTTCCAATCGCGAAAAGTTAAAAATGCAGATATCAGAATTCTTTTGCTCAACAATCTCAGGCGAAGTCCACGGCAGCCAGTTAGAATCTTCCAAACCTGCAGTCAATAGAGTGACCTCAGCGTGACTGGAACTGGCGCCCGCAAGCAACTTTGGGAGCAGTAACGATCTTTGGAATGGGTCCAGTACTATTGGCTCATTCTTCTTCACTTTACCCTCATCATCTAGAAAGCATAAACAATTCGAAAATATGCTGAAAGTCACGAATGTCAATCAATGAAAATCAATCAAAATAATGATAATATGCAGAACTCCGTTTATAGTTGGAGGAGTTCGACTTAAAACTCTGAATATCCTGAATATAGTTAGATCCCATATTTCGTATTATTTTCAGAGATGACATGAAAACTAATACAGCAGCGTAGCATATGCTACACATGGTATTTCAGAAACCCAACAGATCTAGACCAAAGCCGACGAGGCAGTTGGGCCAGCCATAGAGCGATGACTTGAAGACGGGAATGATATGCGTCCTTCTTTTAGAACTACTGGGTTTGACGAAACAAAACATTTACAATCTCTTATTCCATTTTCTTGTCGGATAACATGCAAACGAAGGATGACTAGCCTTGTCGGTCTCACTCATTTTCCTCCCAAAACGCCTGGTTCTTTGAACAAAGAGATATTTTGACGGAATGGTTTGAATTAGCCCCAACTACTGGAAGGAGACACTGTAAAGTTGTGGGTACAACTTCCTATGTCCGTTTGAATTCTTAAGGCATGTCATGGCCGTTTTAGGATAACTGATGCAAGAATCATGACAAGGAGTGCCTGCATTTCATTTATGCGATTGCATAGTTTAGCAATTTTGCGCATTTCTGGCTGCAGATAATCAGAACAAAACTGGAAGAGGGCAAAGCATCAAGCCACCAGCATATCCTGCATCTTGGACAAGGTTACCAATTAACAGGTTTTGCCCGTCTTGTCGTTTCTGTTTGTTTGAGTTAGGATAATACTAGGTTCGATGTAACGGCTACGCAGCTTCCAGTTCCTACTGGGGCTCTTTGAAAGACCGTCGTTGCAATGCTAAAGCCATGACTCCTACAGAGCATAATTCGACGGTGTTAAGATTGTTCGTATGATACGGCTGGTCTGAACCTTTACACTGGCATTTCATTTTACACAGATCGGGGCAGGCCCAGCATGCGAATCCGACGAACGTTTCAAAAACCGCAGTTTTGGTTCAATTCAGGCGGGAAGTTTACTTAACAATTTTCAGCAAGTGCACCAATAAGCACTACTGGCTACACTAGCGTAAGAGATCTTCGTTTCCACTACTCAAAATGGTTAATCCATGAGATAGGTTTTGTCTTCCCGGGGGAATAACTAGAGAGCTTACTTACTGCGCCAATCCCCTTGCTAAAAGAATTTACGTGACGAAGTACAATTGCGTCCTTAACACGCTCACAGCGGACCAAATTGGGACCGCAAGAGTTACAAAACATGTCGTTTAAAGACAGGACTATCCGATCTAAGAAATTCACAGATAAGGACTGATCGATGGTGGACAAGTAGTTCGTTAACTTACAACTATAATTACTTGTCACTGACTCGAGATTGTAAGACTTCCAGTTCAGCCGTCAGACAGCGTAATACATCTAGGCGTATACAGACTAGTTTTCGATGCAAACTTAAGGCTGCAACAATGACAATCAACATTTCGTGCTATTTATCTTCCTCGAAATACGCTGTGCTTTTGAGCATTGAAGAAAATGTGAGGAAGGTTGGAAGTTGTACTTACCGGAGCCGGAGCCAGTGTTGTCTTCAGTCTCAACTACGGTCGTTTTTGTTGACTTGAACGCGTCAGGCATGGTAGCGCTGGACATAATTACAGTTTGTGTTGTTGGGTTGGCGTCCGTGAGTGGGAGGACGAATGTGGCCGGCTTAAACAAAATCTTCTTCGGGCCGGCTACAAACAGAAGCTGGACATATTTGATCTCTATTTCTGGCCTGAATGACCTTCAAGGCAAACATACTAATTAATGGAGGTTGAGAGGTGGTGCCGTTGTCTAAGCTACACTAGATATCATGCGGCGATCGCTGCCCAGAGTACGATGAGGAATCAAGTGCTTTTAACTTGATATATGTAGCAAACACTGTTTTTCCGTGCGAGACGGTGAGCAGAATAAGTATTGAGAAGGGTGTCCAGAGGAATGTGCATCATCATCCTCATCGATGACGTATTTGCATTGTTATGCTTGCTTGTTTACCGACACGATTTTACGAACGCCTAGACCACGACTGACGGTCAATCCTCAACAATCATCTCATGATCTTCCGGTTAGATTGGGGCGGTGAACCCTACGGGCTCATGAAAGCCCGTGTGCTCGGACCGGCGTGCGGAATAGTAAACCCCAGTCCTTGTAGTGTGTCTGTTGCTGATGATGGTTTACCGCATACGTCGTCAGAAAATTCTGACCTTAGATGCAGTTGCCATACTGATCCCTTTTTCCTCATAGTTTGCACCGCCCGGGAATGCTACTTTTTCCACTATCAATGCGGTCGATATGTTCTTTTTGTACGCCCATCGCGACCAATCAACGTGCTACCTTTATTCACTCAGTATTTTTGTTCCTTCAGCGCCGGCTTTATCACATATGGTTAGACGCTGTTGGCCTACTTCGAAAGTTATGATTCAACAGGTGAGGGGTCGCGCTCGTGACTGACTAAAAAATTCGTTACAAAACCTTCTGCGGCCCCCAAAAACTTATCGGCTGTGCTGAAAAAACGGGAAGATGCCAGAATATTCCCATCCTCATAATCGCTGAGGCATCTTATGTCCTCTAAAGCTCATGATTGTCGGTGAATCATGGATACCACGCATCAAATGCTTATTTCGTACATTAAGGAACTACCGTTTTCCATCTAAGTATATCACATAAGAGATCGGGGATAACGAAGGAGATCATAAATGCCAGGACGTAAGACTTAGTCGGGCAGAGATCAGACCGGTATGCCAAGTGCCCCGCCGAGAAAGCGTCCAGTTTGCAGGTGCATCAACGTGTTGCGACCGAACGGTTGGAAAAGGAGATGTTAAGGCTAGAATAAGGACGTGAACGGAGCAAATTATGGAATTTGCATGCACTTGTAACATGCGTGACGATCGCGAACACGGTAAGATAGTCTTTTATTGAGTTAGACAGGACGCTAGGATGAATCATAGCCGAAATGCGTCGCTGCACAATACATAATCTTGCAATCGAAGGTCGTTAATACCATCTCAAATCTGGAGTTGCACGAAGGTGTGGAACCGTTGTCTACTTCTGCATCTGCAAGAACAGTTTACAGGTTACTTTGACGCCACCACAGTTTAAATCCTACAAAAAACACGTTTCTCCACCAGCCCATAGCTTACACATACACCCACTCCATTTCACACACCGGAAGCACCCACCACCTCCCATTCCGATGGGATTCGAGCTGACCACTTCATTATTCTGTGGAACCCTGGTCCGTCGTGCGCGAAAAGACGCGCGGACGGTTTTTTTTAGCTTTATCAGTCTCTGCGCTTAATTAAAAATCCGGCCTTCCTGTCTTAGCCTGGCCACCGGGCCCAGAAAGGTACACAAGGATGCCGGACAATTTTAAACTAATTCGCTCGCAAGTCACCGTCCCTGCACCCGCCAGGCTGTGGAACCCAACGTCTGCGATGGTCGAACTGTCAAGGGAAGTTCGGTAATTCAGAATGAAGGAGATATATACTAAAGTAGTTGGGATCGTTGGGATTGAAATCCCGGTCGGTGAATAAGTGGAAATGCGCAACTAATACGCTAAACGCAACGAATGCGCGCGAAGACCAGAGGGTAATCTGGAAAGGGTTCAGGTGATTTGTTATTTCCCGCATACTGTGCATGTTTTCATGGTAGGAGTGTTAGTTCAAAGTAATGCATCAACAAAGTTTAATGGAAAAACGAACAACTGCCATGACTTGAATACTGTTCGTCGTTAGCCGGCATAACGTCGCTGGCGTTGAGTCAGTTGGAAAGCTAGGTAGTACATTATTTCCTCCACTTCAGTATATTTTGTGTCTTTGTCACCATAAACTCTGGCGGAAATTGCCACTGAGACCGGTGAGTTTTGTTCATAATGTTTCTTAAAAGTATAATCTAGGTGTGCTAACTTATTCGTGCAGTTGAGACGACTACCTTCTCGTAAAGCTGAAGATGTGTCAGCAAAGACGGCCATATAGCTTTACATAGAGACTTACATATGATGACGAGCGGACTGCATGCAATGAACTGAGCCATGACATTCAGATTCTGGTCTCGCAGTAGTTGTGCGTGATGCTGATTTATAACTTGCACCTGAAACAAGGTAAATTTCCAAGGAATTTTGGTAAGCTTGAGACCACCTATTCGGCTAGGCCTCTACAATCTCAGATCCGATTTAAAATGGCTAAAGGCCACTTGTAAATGAACAGTAGTACATATATACGCCAAATATTTATTCTAAATTAATACTAGTGAGAACTTTTGAAGCAATATTTCCCGGCACGAATTTGAAACACGCATACACAACAGAATTTATTGGAACCAACCAGAGGCTTTTACGTTAAAAATAACTAGGCGGGTAACTCAGGGACTCAGTAACTCAGTAACTCAGCTCTTGGATGCATTTTCAATCTGGTGTGATATTTCCAAGCATAATTAAAGAATCAATAAACTAAATTTGACGAAACGACGATCTCGTTTGGCCAATCTTCATTGTTTGCGTTATCCCCCGTTGTTGCTGGCATGGGAATATTGCAGGAAGCTCCAAGACCACAAATCTATGATAAAAGCCTTGAAGGCATAACGTAGAGTGTACTTGTTCGGATTTTTCCGGAGGACATTCTACATATTCTCGTGTGAGGCCAGCGAACGGGTAGCGTGCGCCTCTGAGGTGGTCGGGACATAGAAATTTCCGCCTTGGCTGTCGAAATAGAGTCCCATATGAAGTGTTATTCCAGAGAAAAAGTGTGATGAGTTCGGGGAAGGACGCCCGGTAATTTTGGATGCATTTTCCTAACGTGTTACATCTGACAGTGTGGGGCATATATAGCAGATGCAATATTTAATTTCTCTGGATATATATAAATTGTAGAATCTACAGGGGAATACAACGAACTCAAATAAGGTCTAAAACGCAAAGCAAACTCAGTCTTTACTTTTAAGATGTATCAAAGCGTCCTTTTTGTCAGCTTATGAGACAATCTAGTTTTGAACAAGCCCGAGTGACTCGGCCAATAGCATGTCTGACGCATGAGTTTTGTTTCATGACCTGCTGATGGAACCAAGGTGCTGTGTTGAATCAAGACCACTTTAAAGCGTCATTTTGGAGTCCTAATGGACTTATTTTTCATAAAGACGAAAGCCCTAGCAAAAGAGCACATTATTCGTAAAGGGCACAAGGAAAACGGGAACGCAGTAGCATACCTGCACAGAATATATGATATTGATCTTAAGGGCACCTTGAGGAACCGTCATCATTACACGATTGTCAACAAGGCTGGAGAGTTTTCCACCCCCGCGGCCCAGCTCAGCGGAGTCTCGGCGAATTCGTGCCGCTGGAGCCAGGACGATTTCTGGTAGCTTTGAGAGCCGCACTTCGAGGTAACGCGAGTCCTCTCCAGTAACGTCCTGCGTTACGAGATCGTTCCAAGGTATTGGCTTTGGAGCAGCTTCCTTCTCGGCTTCAGTTTCGGCGGCAGCGGCTCCTGCACCATCCCCTTCAGATTGTTTTTCCTGAATAGCATGAGGTATAGGGGCAATGTTTTCACACAACAATAAAGTATATTGTCAACAAAAGCAAAGGTGGGTATCTCCGGACTTAAGTAATGAGAAAAGGAAGGCGCAGACAACAGAATCTATCATTATTGAAGGGTAGACGACACTGTGGTCCACAATGCTTAACAGTTGATGCAAGCGAGCAGGTGACTTCCAGGAACCAGTTGAGAGAAACAAATGAACGAGATATTATCACGCCTATAAGCAACCCTGGTAATGGAATTGCGGCAATCAACAAATTGGATGTGGGTGAGCAGACCAGCATCGCACCGAAAAGGACCATAGTCGATGAATGCGAGAGCTGTTAATTTTTATAGCGATGCGGTGGTACAGAAAATGCACCCTATAAATGCCGCAACTGTTGTACGCTTATTACTCTTGCCTGTAGTAATTGAGGTGACTACGCGATTCCCAGGAAGCATGGCAAAAGAAAAACCAGCGTTCTCGGGGACAGGTTTATTTTCGATCTGGCGTTTCGAGTAGTGATTTCGGCTACCTGTCTTCGAAGCCTGGGGAGTGATGTGCACAACCCTAATTATATGGCTCATTTGTCTGCTGTGTGGGTTTCAAATGCCGACCCCCCGCTAACCCCGGGCCTGCGTCGTCCCGCCCCCACCCCTCATTGTCAGCGGCGATAAATGGAGCGGCCCCGATTGTTTCACGCCTTCACGGTTTCCTGCCAAGATTCGTGAAACCCACAGTTTTCATTTGCGACCTGCATATCAGGCTACACACTACCCATAACGAGAGCTGTGCACAGGAATTTCCACTGTCTGGGGATGGATAGTTGAAATCACTATATGGAACGCCAGAGTGAAAATAAACCTTTCCCAGTGAACGTCCCTTCTTTAAATGTTTGTCTGTCTCTAGTGATAGGTTGGGGAATTAATGGAAGGCACAAAGTGAACAAAATTCTGGTTTCAGCCACCACGTCTTTTTTTCATAGCGTTTAGTGGCGCCTACGGCTGACTTGGAAAATCAGCAATCAAGGCTTATCCGTTCACTGATGCACCGCAGCCTCCAGTGACGGAAACACGTTAGCTTTTCATCATTAGAAAAACAGACGCATAAAACCTGCGATTCATTCTTTTTTTCGTTATCTTCGGGATGTTTGAAGGCGGGGAGACTTTGCAGAGCAGCTAGCACCCCGTTTACATAAGTGTCCTCTGACTGTTTACGTTTTGTAGTTCGAGTACCTGCAGCTGTCAGCGCAGGCGTCATCCTCCATTAACCCGCAGCAGCTGGATGTCTGGTTTTGGTTGTTTTTTTTACCGAATAAAATAGTCTCGCAATTATATACACGTTTAACTTTGTTATGATTTTGCAGAATTAATGCGCATACTGACCATAGTTAAGAACAACTATGCCAAGAATAGCCGTCTGGGCTAGGGAATTTATTTGTAAAGGGACCCGACAGTGATATTTGGCACGCGGTTCGCACCGAAACACAACTGAACGGTCTAAAAGTGAAGAGTATCACCAACAGAGATGTTGGGACATTGTCGTAGGAAGTCGTGCAGTTTTACGCACTGATGCCTTCACACATAGAAACATTTTATTTATCCCTTTAGGGTCAGGTTTGAAGTTATTTGAACTGCACTAACTCCTTCTGATGGGGTCTTTGGTAAATTCAAACCATTTCCGAGGCTCCGCTCAAGCTTTCGATCCATAAACCCACGGAAGTAGAAACGGTGTTTTCACTTGTGCAAGTTACTTTTTCGACCTGAATATATTCCTGGTCAGAATGAGGCCGCAAGGTAGTCCAAGAATTCTGCAAATGGTCGACATCCCAGGAAGCAGGTCTCTACACCCTTTACTAGTTCATAAGTGATGGAAATGGCTAAAGATGCTCATATGGGCTTCTGTCTTCCCGGTCTGGCGTTGATGGAAGGAGAAACCCTGTGACCAGTCAATTAACAAAGTCCAGACGAAGTCGGCTGGCGTACCTTTGACGTTCCTATCAATGGTTGTAAAACATTTGATATATCCGACCTTTCTTCTCACTTAAAACTCGAAACTAATCACTGGATACTAGTTTTAACTAAATTCCTGCAATTCCAGCATAAAGGGCGTTGTTTGAAAAGAGCACCATTCCGGGAAGCGTTCCTCCACAATATTGCCAACGTGGGCTTTGTGAACAGTCAAGTTGCTTGAATTTCGCCAGAGGTATGCTATTCTACTTGCATACGATTAGCTAGGAAAGATTTCATTTTCCAGGTTACTGAAGTGTTAATGAAGCATAAACAGATTTCCTCATATGGGATTTTGGGTTCTTTGATTTGCAGGCAAACCTACCATCCGTTTGATAATTGCGGTCCGCTGGCCATCCTAAAAAGTAGTCGGCACCCTCCACTACATGCACCCTAAGGTGGCGTTAAACATCCCACACATTCACTCAGTCCACATTTAAGAAGATGAGCATGGAATTTGCAAAGTTCACGCCCGACACAACTCAAAATGAAGTTTTGCCTATGAATGAGGAGGATTGCTGAAATATCAACGGAACAAACACACATATGGAGTTTTGCATAGAAAATGTGAAGAATGCAGACGTCTTACGCCTCCCTCAGGTGCCTGTGCCTTGTCTTCAGCCTTTTCGTCAGTGGGAGCAGCAGGTGGACCCATTTCGCTTGCCTCCATCCAGAAGATTACAACTTCTCGTGTCGGGTTTTTTCCGTAGTTGTGGGGAATGCCGACGTACCAGGGTTCGTTTGGCTAAGGTGCAAAGAGTTGCGGAAGTAGGCAAGAAACTTATTGGGGTGGCTTTAAGTTAGAACTTCTCCAAAGAAATTCAACTCGACTAAAGGATAAGGCAACTACCAGCAAGCAGTTTAGCTGGGTTACTGCGTACGATTGTGCGGCTGCTTTGGAATTAACCTTGAAATCCGGCCTAAGCCTCTTCCAGATGTTTACATCGAACTACTTTAAATTGTTTAGCAAACGTTCAGTAAGAAGGGGATTTGTTATGCGTGTGAAAGTTTCTTAATTTTGAGGTCTTTCCGGGGTCGTCCTGGGCATATATGGTCAGATGCAGTACAAACTTGGCTTCTTAATGAATTCACATCACAGGTATGTTCAGCTTTGTCAAAAACGTTTTGAAGACGCAGTAGCAATTATTTTCGGGTCGGAATGTCGAAGGTGTCATGGGAACAACTTGCATGTACTGGATTAGGCAAAGGAAGAGGAAACTTTTAAAGGCCTCCCTGTTACGTAGTCGATAAGTACTAAATTTCATACCAAGATGCAAATGACTTTGGGGTGCCTGGGTCGGATGCAGACGAACTTTCCAATGACTTCTGAATTGCCTGGCAGGTTGGGCCACGCAGCGAGGGAGTTCGCGTAACTGACGATAAGATCGTCGTCGTTGAGCAAACAGTCCGGCGGTGCTCGAACGTAACAGATCACGCTTCTAGCCTTCTCATCCTCTTCGTTCGTCATATATCTATGGGATAAATTAATATTACCAACAAATTCGGTCGAGAGGACAGACTATATCAAAAGAAAAGACTATCTCAAAACACTATAGTCGTGCTTGCTATTGCTATTGGGTGTGAGTTTAAAACGAATTGACCATAATTCACGTTAAATCACGTTTGTAGCGCTTAGCAGATGGTCGGAGCATCATGTCATGCCGAAAAATAGGAACACTGAAGAGCTGGGAATGTAAAAGGATCGCCGTGTCACAAATATTTCGGCTCTCATTGTCAGTCAAATGGATCAGAGTATCCTGAAGTTCTGATGTCCGAGTAACTAGTTAAAATCCGTTGCATGAACAACATCACGAAGATTCCCAGAAAGAAGTTAAAGGAATTTAGTTTCGTCTAAGATTACGAGGTGAACATCCCAACTGCAGACGACCCCGGACCTGTTCGCTGTCGGGTGGGTCAACTTCGGATTAACAAGTAACTCAGCAGAAATTGTTATCTAACCTCACCCGGCACTAAGAATGTTCGAAAGCAGAGTAAGCCGAATGTCCCACCTGCTTAACATAATCTTCATACATATCAAAGTGGACAACAAGACTGTGGCCCATAGGTTCGACGCTATCCAAGCTTTAAGCAGGTTTCACAGTTTAGTAAAGAGCTGTTTTTTCATCCCCTTTACAAGCAATCGGAAGATGTACAGGACTGCCATCCTGACAATGCTCCTGCACAGCCTGGAGACCTGGTCAATCTGCCATTAACAGACGTGGAGGCTTGGTGACCACTTCCACCTGAGCCGCCTTCAGAGCTATAATGATGAGAAGTAGCAATATCGGATCCCGAGTACCTGGGTGCAGAAGTCAACCCGGCAGTCCGGCGTCTATGCAAAACTGAAGCAGATTCGAGTTGGGTATAACGGCCGTAAGGCAGAGATTTCAGATCGCCGTGTACTGAGAGGATTATTACATAGTAACGCTGCTACGGATTCCACCGGCGTGGAGGACGAGTGAAAAAGTCGAAAGTGTTCCCAGAAACCTCAATTCAAATGCCTTGGAATAGACTAAAATTTATATGAAACTCTCGTACAGATTAAGTAGTCAAAACAAATCGCTCTGAAGAATGATACAACAGCTTATGGGATCAACTGAGTGCTGGAGGCCAAGCGAAGTTTCAAAAAAATTGAATATAAAGAACAATTCGACCGACGACCACCCACTTCCCACGCGCTCAGATTGCATGCTCACATTAAAGGCTTGCCCTGATCTAATGACACACCTTAGTATATTTCGCAGCAGCTATGCAATCAGCAAAAACGCGGAAAGTGCCCATGGACGCATGGTCCTTTAATGGTCAAACGTGGACGATCTTCTGTGAAACGCTACAGTTGTGTGCTCAGCTGCTTACAAACGGAAGCGGTTCATCTTAAGATAGCCGCTAGCCTGACCAAAAATTCTTTCATTCAGTGTCTGATGAGATTCATGGGTAGATGCGGACGTCCCACTGATATCTTCAGTGACAACGGAACCAATTTTGTCGGAGCAGTAGCGGAACTCCGAAAGAATTAACACAAATGGGACCAAAAGAGAGTGCCGAACCAACTGTTAACTCCTTGGCTTTTACGCGTCACTCAGACTCCAAGGAAGTCAACAGGTGAGCCTGAGACAAATCCCAGGGGCTAGGGTTTGGGGTTAAGTTATAGGCAGCACACGGGAATAGGTGTCATTCTACCTAGAAGTTAGCACAATACCATTTGTGCTACGGATGTTCCTATTCCTCTGTTTAACCACTTCTACCGCAGTGTTACCGTGCAAGCAAGATGAGGGTTCGACGGGTTAAAGCAGAGACAACCAAGCGTACATGTGCTTGGTCCACTCCTTTAGGGCTGGTCTTTCGGATGCTGCGATCTCCGCTGGATCCAGCTCACCCTCGACGTGTTCCTCCTCCTGGACCACGTCTGGTTTCTCCTCCTCCTCTGCAGCCCCATCCTCGCCCTCTCCGTCTCCCTCCTGGCCCTCCTCCTCACTTGCCTCGGCCTCCTGCTTCTTGGCATTGGGATCTTCAATGAGGATTTTGTCGCTCTTCTGAGCGTTCACTATTTCATTGTGGCCTGCCCAAACAGCCTTGCAGGCATCCAGTCGCCAGACTGTCAGCGGTCCAGCAATATAACTGATTGCGTGCGTAAAATCGAAGTTAACTTTTACTGACTCCGTCAGCCGATCTTCCATTTCCGTCAGGATAGCCTCCTGTTCTGAACATAAGCAAGACAACCAATGTTAAAAGCAAATTTTACCGCCTGTTGACTTAATAATCAAATCAAAAGCACATTCAAATAATCGTGTGAACCCTCCTTTAACTACTTATATACAAACACATATTGCACCTGATAGGATGTGGTCCACTGCCCAGGTTTCCGGCCCTCTCAACCAGCACCTGAAGGCCTAATTACTCGCATCCGCAGTGTGAAATACCGGTTTTTTTCCAAAATCATGTAGGCAAGACCACAGTCCTATCCATCAATTAAGCTACCGACATGATTTTAGAACACTATAATCCTACATCACCAACGAAAATAGGGAACGCACGAAACCATCATCACTCCACTCCGTCCGTGTAAAACAGCACCGAGATTTGCGGCCTCTCCGAGCCTTCGGTTGATTGGAGTGTCAGGGCTCTCACACCCTCCGTTGGACTTTCTGAAAGCCAGTGGCGCAAGTAACTCCTGTGTGTGTGTGTGTGTGTGGCAACGATGGACTGTGTCATCTGCCCCTGTGCACAGGACTTATCGAAAATCAGCATCTAGTACAAGGCTAGCCACCAGAGGTGGATGTCACCGTGTTACGACCCGGGTGGTCTTTTGGACAAGTGAAAATCTGGGCTTTGGCTATCCAGTACTGCTAAAGACCAGCGGCTTCCAAAGGAAAGACTTAACTCAATGGGCAGGATTTGCTTCCTCGAATTGAGGTTTCCACCTTGGGGTGCAACATCTGCGGGAAACCAGCTGCTCACAAGTTGGCCATCACCTCAACCCACCGAGAACTCTTTCAGGGCTAGACCTCTGTTTGACAGTAGATCCAGGGCATGAGGACTCCGCTTCATCTTGCTGAGAACTAGTGATGCCGAGAGTAACGCAGCGCCACAATTCTATGTATAAGTCAGAAGACGAGGCACACACTAAATGCTACCTGACCACTGTATCTGCTGGTTTCCAGACGCCATATTTTCTGAATCGTGTGCTTTTATGATCGATATCGGTCTAGAATCGGTGCACATGGGAAGACAGAAGCAATGGTCTGAAAACTGAGGAGCTTCAAGTGGTTTCATCCACACAGGCGACTGAGGAGCAGTTTTATACCGGTCTGGACTCCCTCGAAAACGGGCTGTTAAACTTTTTGCTTTTGCAGCTTACAAGACAATTAGCCTAATAAAAATTGAGACGAGGGTGAACATATACCGCACTGCGGATGTAACCCAGACTCAGTTGAAAGAAAGGACTGGTCTTCGATGAGTACATAAAAGAGGATGCTATGGTAGATACCCTCATCAAGAAAGCCAAACTCGACCTCTGTCAGTTGAAAGGGCTAAAAGATAGGAGAGATGATATGAGCACATATGGCACATTTAGGGGGCTGGCCGGCGAAATACGATAGCTACAGAGGGGGTAGTAGTGGCAAGTCTTATTGTAGGATTTACGAACCGGATATTCCCACGGTCATCTTTGGTAATAAAGCGAAGAGAAACGAAAATTACCACAGAAGCAATCAGAAGACGAGGTGGCGAGCATACGTAGCTTCCAATAAATTCTCGTCGGGCCAGTACAGCTATATGGGAACGAGGACGAAATAAAACATGTCAGCGATGAGGGAAATCAATAAAAGTGGGGGTGTGGGAATGTGGGGGCGGGAGTGGGGGTAGGGGGGGGGGGTAATAGCAGTCAGTGTCAGGGGCGGGGTGAGAGCGGAAGGGCGCGGAGAGTTGCAGCGTTAGTCGACCTTCGAGCACTGTAGGCGCGAAGCCTGAACGTGATTCTTCTGTGCGCATAAGGCTGGCTTTCGTAACCTGATGGCGGCCCCGTCTGCTGTTGCTAACAGGCGCTGGCCCAGTAGCTTCGGCCTTATAAATCACACGAAAAGCTTCGTTGGGGTCCCCACGATATCCGGAATCGATAACATGCGTGAGAATGGCGCTGCTTATGCTCCTAGTTTCGCCTTTTCCCAGCCATGCCGGGAGGTGTTCCCGTATTATCTTGGATAAGCGCCGACTCGTGCGACCAATATAACCTGCTCCACAGGAGCAAGTGAAGGAAGTGTTCGACAGCCAACTCCATAGACAAGTAGACGCAGTTGTTTTGGCTCACCTCTTGGACCTCTCCTAGCCGATGTCTTCATGGGCAAATTGAAGAGATTCCAACTAAGCGATCAGATCGATAAACTTAAACATTACGGTCGCTATGTTGATGATATCTTTGCAGTTGCCATGCAGAAACCGACGTAGCTACCCTCTTAGATGTTGCAAATCAGGCATACCCGTCGATCACCTTCGCGCTGGAGATCGAGACGGCCGGTCGCTCCCTTTCTTAGATGTTCTTCTAAGCAGGAGACCTGACGGGAGTGTCCGAAGAAACGCCTATCGGAAGAAAACCTGGTCTAGACAATACACGAACTTCGCCACATTTGTACCCCTCCAACAAAAACGAAATCTTCACCGACGTTTGGCACAAACAGCTAGAAAAATTTGCTCAATAGATAGCATCGAGGAGGAGCTCAGAAAAATCCAGGCTTTCCTTCGTGGAAACGGGTATCCTGACGGGTTTATTGCAAAGAACATTGCCGAACGACCGATAAAACCCGCCACCCCGACGGCCGATAAGAAAAATTTGTTCCTCGAAGTCCCTTTCCAAATGAGACACTGCAAGTGAACTCCTAAGAAGACGCCTTGACCAAGCTGTTTCGGGAACCTTCCCAGCAGCAAGGATTCGCATATCATTCTCTACTAACCCTATTTTACGCGGAGAAGGTAAGGGTAAGTTGCCAACGCAGACAACGTCAATATGCATCTATTCCTTCACTTGATCCTGTGGAGCAGGTTATATTGGTCCCACGAGTCGGCGCTTATCCAAGATAATACGGGAACACCTCCCGGCATGGCTGGGAAAAGGCGAAACTAGGAGCATAAGCAGCGCCATTCTCACGCATGTTGTCGATTCCGGATATCGTGGGGACCCCAACGAAGCTTTTCGT